TGTAACTTTTCTATTTTCTTAAAATGTCTGTTTAAAGGAGAAACAGACACTGATCGTGAGGTACAATCAAAAAGAGAAGAAGACGCTGACCCTAGAACAAAAGGGAAGTTGAAGGTCTTGCCCATTCTTGCCACAGTGGGAAAGAAGCTAATAAAAAATCCTAATACATATGCAACTTTAATGGGTTTTATTTGGTCAAGCATACAATTCAGGTGATTAACATGTCTGTTAATTCCATCAACACAGTCCAAGAGATTATTGTATTTACTTTCCTGATCATAATTAAGGTGACAAATAAGGTTAACTTGTTGCAGGTGGGGATTACACATGCCTGAAGTTGTTAGTCAGTCAATAGAAATATTGTCCAACGGAGGTCTTGGCATGGCAATGTTCAGCTTAGGTATGTAAAAGCAAAAATCCATGGTTTCATGATATGAAATAATAATTTGAGGAGCACCCAGTTTTGGCAGGAGCACTTGTTTCTTATTGGAGAATGTGAGTTTTGAAAATAACTGACACACTCCAATAAGGGTTTAATTTTTTATATTTGTTGGTGGATTTGTATCAGGTCTGTTTATGGCATCACAGTCCAGCATCATAGCATGTGGGCCAAGGATGACAATGGTGGCAATAGGACTGAAAGTTGTGGGTGGACCTGGTCTGATGGCAGTGGCTTCCCTTGTGATAGGATTAAGAGACACATTGTTTAAAGTGGCAATTGCTCAGGTGATCTTTTCTTTAATTTTCTTTTGTGTTCTACTTTTCAGGCCATTTAAAGGTAAATAGTTTGCATGATCTTGCATGTGGCAGGCAGCTCTACCCCAAGGAATTGTTCCTTTTGTTTTTGCCAAAGAGTACAATCTCCATCCAGCAGTTTTAAGCACTGCGTAAGTTCAAAGTATCTCTTACTATATAAAATTAAATGTCTCTACTTGGATAAATTTATTGTTGAAAATTTTTATAATCCAGACATGAGTTGAAATCTTATATAAAAATTAGAAACTTGACAAACATAAAAATGAGAAGGATAATAATAAGATTTTTAATTGAAGACAGTGTTTATTCTCTGAAGAATGATTGGTTGGAGGTGGTATTTATAGACATTTTCTGGTGGTAATCCTAGGATGTTTGATATTGTTTTTCATGGCAGGATCTTGATAGGAATGCTCATTGCATTGCCGGTGGAATTAGCCTTCTACTTCCTCTTAGCAATTTGAACATTTCCGTAGTGTATGCTAAGAACAAGAATAACCAGCATTAGACTGCTGTCAAAACAATATACAAATATAGTTGTAAATTACTGCATTATTGATTCATTGTAACTTTACTGTATTTACTGTGTGTATAGTTACATAAATGTTTGACGTAAGATAAAAAATAAGAATTGCTTTACTTTGCGAAGGTACAGAAAACAATAATTGTTTATATGCCATGTACAGATTTATATACATGACCATGATATTAATGATTTGATTGTATTTTGAATGTTAAGGTGACATGATCACTTATTTTTAAAATTCTTATTTAGATTTGGGTTGAAAAATAATTTCTAAATTAGGTTAAAGAGCAAATCATCTAATAATGTTGAATTCTAGGAATAGATTTGAATTTATTAGATGAATAAATGTTTGAAATCTAATTTGATGATTGAGAATTTGCAATAGAATCTTTAAAAAATTTAAATTAAGAAATTGATTTAGAAGGATTAGTAAATACTCAATAACATTTACTTATATAAACTATGGTGAACAAGAGATTGATAAAGGTGAATCTCACAACTTCATTATTATTGTTATAACCTAGTTTCTACTATTAGTTATTTTAATCAATTCCCACTTTTGCATAAATACCGGTGCAGCAGAACTGTTTATAAATCTTTGGATAGTTAGCTTAAAGTGATCATAGATATAACTGAATATTACATGTGTCCATACGACACTTATATATGTATTGTTTTGTGTTTGTATGTTTGCTGAACTAAAAGTACTAAGAGGTCCAACAAAATATTCGAGGTTAGACGCAAAATTTTATAAATTCAGTTAGACAATTTTGGTCCAATATAATCATTGTCCGTAGGTTTACAACCTAACTCGTTTTTTTAAATAGTTATCATTAAATAAAAAAATATAAAATAAGATTATTAATTTTATTAAAAATAAATAAATTATTTTAAAAATATTTATTTATTTCCAGAGTAAGTCGAATAATAAGTTTCTAATACTTATTTATTTTTTATCTAATAATTAAAATATTAATAAATTAATAATAAAAATAAAAAAGAAAGTCTTTTAAAAATAAATAGAGTCATTATCTTATGATTCATATATTAAATTATTATATTTGAAATTAAAATTAATTTTATTAATATAATTTTAAATTTTAAATTTTTATTTTTATTTTTTATTTTTTATTTATTTAAAATATTTTTAATTTTTAAATTAATCATTTTTGTATATTTTTTATTTTTTAAGTAGGTGAAATTTGATCTATTGATATTGACTTAATATAAAATCAAACTAATAAATTATAATCTGTTTTAAAAATATAAATCATGTTTAACTATCTTATTTTTTTTATTTGATCTATAGTAAGGTTAATTACCCGGGAAACCCCAAATTCTTCGATCTTAGTTTTTTTTTTCAATATTTTTTTCTTAAATTATTAACTTGATATATCTCTTTTAATTTATCATTATATATCTAACTGTAAGTTGAGATTTAATATTTATTTTAAAAAACATATTAAAAAACATTACATGGATAATGATATAGATCTAAAATATAATTTAGGTATTAAGAAATATTATATTGAAAATGATAGATTTAAAATATAATTTAGGTATTTAAAATAATTACTTATTATTAAATTTAAATATAAAAATTTAATTTATTTTGTGTAATGCAAAAGATCAAATATTAGTTATATATTAATTATTTTTCTTTTAATTAATTACTAATGCTTATGAAACATATTTCAAAGTGATCTTTGTGTTAATAATTTATGTATTTAATATATTATTAATGTATCATTAATATAATCATTAAATAGTATTAAATCATTGTACATATTAAATATAATATATAATCAACTCTGATAATATCATTAAATATATATATATATATATATATAGTATATTGTGAATTTTAATAAATATATAAGGTACATACATTTTTTTTTAAATTACTTACTCTACAAAAACATATATTTTAAAATAGGAAAATTCAAACGTTTCCTAATATATTTGCAATTTATTAAATATATAAATAGTATTTTAATTTATGTAATGCATGATATAAATATAAATTTAATATATCTCAACACCATAATGAACATTTTTAATATACAAATTATATTTCACTTGCAATTTTTAATGAAATAATATTTTAAGAATATATAGCAAGTTTTATATTTACGGTAAAACTTTAACTATTAACATTTTTTATGAAGTTATTATTTCAAATAAAACGTTTATTACTGGTAAAATATTCATAAAAAGTATCTCCTGTTTTAATTTCTTAATTATTATTTTACATTCAATTAAACATTAAAATATTGTTTTCTTCAATTACTATTTCTCATATTTTCAGTAAATTACTATATTTTATATATATTATATATAAATCATAAACTCGTTGCGAAATTTGATCATTATATCTTTGACCCTGACTAAAAACGCGTATGTTATCTTAAAATATTTTAATTGGATAATTTTTAAGAAACTATAAAAGTACAAAAGTTCCATTTTTCAGATTTTTCGCTTTTAAATGGAAATCAATGTCATTTGTCACTGACACACAAAAAAAATTATTTGAATGTAACCATTGAAAAAAGTTATTAAGTTAAATTTATTTATCTTTAAGTAATCTATGGAACTAATCGATTATGTATGTTCAAGAAATTCTTCGTGGTAGCTTTATATAGTAGCCATGTTTAAACAAATTCTTTATAACTAAAAAATAAAGTAAAACTAATTTTTTCATAAAGTAAATTTAACTTTTTATAAATCAATATGTAAAGATTACTTCATATATGTTTTTCGAAAGTTTAATTTAAAATTATATACTTCATATATGTATATAAAAAAAAAAAAAACTGTGTAAACATATCCTTAAAATAAATTACTTATTTCTCTTTGGCTAGCAAAAACCATAAGTAACCAAATAAAGACTTAAATTCAAAAGACAATTTTGTTTGAATTTTTAATTAAAAAATGATTTTTTAGATAAAACCTTTAAAAATATATAAAAATTAAAGAACTTTTTTCATAATTTGTTTAAAATTTTATATAATAAATTTTTAATTTTAATTTTTTGTTTAAGCTCTAGTCAATATATTATTTTTCGATTAAATAAGGGACATGCATGTGTCATGATACTAAAATTATAGGGAAATTTTTTGTAATCTTTGAAATTAACGATTGCCAATAGAAAAAATATAGTTGCAGAACACTTTTTTTAATTTTGTTTGGGTTTTATATACTTATTTATTTATTGTTGTATTAATATTGTTACTACAGACAGCAACTCTATAGCTAGTATCTTCAAATTAAGTTTTGTAATATAATTTATATAAGATATGATATCTTTGAAATATTCTTAATTTGTGATAAAATTAAGTGCGAATAAGAAAATATAGATTCCTAAACTTTTTCAATGGGTTATTGGAGATGATATTATGGCAACTCAAATGAGATACACGACAAAGAAAGATTATAATTATTCTTCTTCTAAATGTATGAAGGAATTTCTTAAATAAAATAATTCCATAACATTTTGTATAAAAAGAATTCTACAAGGGGAAACGACAACGTTTTGAGATCAAACGGTGGTGATAACTTTCGAGATTTTTAGAAAGAAAATAGGTGTCCGAAAAGAAGGTGAAAATTAGGGTTTTGAGGTGTTTATTTAATTGGCAAAAGACACTGTTTGGGCTTCACAGGCAGGCTCTCGGTTCTTCCTTCACAAAATTCCTGAGATCCCCATTTTCTCCGAATCAAAGCTATGGCTAAGGGTCCCGGTCTCTACTCTGACATCGGCAAGAAAGCCAGGGGTACTCTCTCTCACTCACTCTATTTTTGATGGAATTCCAAGCTGGGATTTTTTTTGGGAGGGGGGGGGCGGATTTTTTTCTGACCGTCAAAAATTAATTTTTTTGTGAATCTTATACTGGGATTTTGTTTGTCTCGTGTAGATCTGCTTTTCAAGGACTACCAAAGTGACCAGAAGTTCACCGTCACCACCTTCTCACCCACTGGAGTTGTGAGTGTCCTTTTTTCTTATCCTTCAATTTTTGCGGCACAAATACAATGCATGACATGGGTATTTGTTTTGTTGTTGGGTTTTTTATTGGCTATTCTATTTAGCTTGTGTGGAAAATAATAATGTTGGTAAACTAAAATGGCTTGTTGAAGAAGGCTGGATGGCTCTGTTGGAAGATTTGTGTGTTATATCTATATCTTGACTTTGAGAAATCTGTGTAATGGATTTCATTTTTCAATAAAGAAAAAATTGGGTTTGTGTTATGACAACAATTTATGTTTTGGCCTTCTGGTTCTTCATTCAATCGCAAAGTATTGACTTTTCTTAATGATAAAACAAAATGGTTTTTTATAGCTGGAAGTATATTTAGCAGCATTTTGATTATAAACTGTTTTGATGAAATAAACACGGAAGAATAGCTTGTGGTTATTGTTTTGTTGTGATTTTTCACCTTTAGTTGTCTTCATAATTTTCTTCTCTGCTGTTTTCAAAATCTTCATTCACTGATTGGATTGTGTTTTTCTTTGAGCTTTCATTTTCACTGGCTGTGCCTGTAGCTTCATGATGGGAATAATTTTGACGTACCAATTATATTTATATGATGTAATGTAATATGCTATCAGCTAAATGAAAAATTATTTTTTTAACTATTGTTAGAATTAGATTAGATCTTCCTGATTTACGTGTGGAATCTGTTTGTATGTAATGTCAAGCACGTGTATACTTTTCAACAGTGGCCAGAGTGACCATTTTTTCATCAAAAGTGGAGCAGTGCTCACTTTTCAGTGCAAAATTTGATTTTCTAGATTTTTTAGAATTGTTTCAATGTAGTGCAGCGAACCAGTGAACCAGCCTTCTTCATTGGCTTTTGATTCCATTCACATGATCCCTCAATTTTGCACTCAAGCAACCACCCCCTTTCCCGTCTATCATTTTGGCTTTAAGCTGTAGACACTCTGTTTTGCACGTTATGCAGCTTCTAGCTGTTGTTATCTCTCTGTTCTTCAATACAACTCCACACAGAAACTTATTAACAAAAGAAAAAAGAAAATTCCCATTTCTCTTATGTTTTTGGTAATTGGCATCCTTTTTTGTTTTTGGTGATTTATGTGGTTTTTCCTTTGTCTTAGTTAATTGATAAAGGCTGGCTACTTTGGGATACGGCTTGTTGCCTTAACTTCTTGTGTGGCTGGTCTTCCTTATTTTCTACCATAAATTTTTTTTATATACTACGTACTGTGTTTTACTTATGTTCATGTATATTAAAAAGAAAGTATAACCTGTGTCATATATACCTTGCAATGTGGATGCCCTAGATGAGGTGGATGCACATTGATACACAGTGGTATATTAGGTGCAGATACATGCTTTAAACTGATCCTGTGGAGCACATATGATAAAATTTTAATATTCACACTGTCATTTTAACCTCTGTTTAGCAATATGTGATTTGATTTTTGTCTTCTGCTTCAGGCTATTACTTCATCAGGAACCAGGAAAGGCGAACTGTTTGTGGCTGATGTGAACACTCAGTTGAGGAACAAAAACATCACTACTGACATCAAAGTTGATACAGATTCTAATGTAAGTTTAATATTATTGTTTGGATATTTGCTGATTCTCTTCTCTTTTCAATTTAGATCTGGTGTCCCATGTTTCTGATTTATATGCCATGTACAGAATTATCTATCCAATTTTTGTGATTGATTTTTTATATTTGTTCTACCATGATCGGCGGATTTCCAAAAACTTCCAGTTGTTTATTATATTTTAGGATCTCATCAGCAATAGTTAGTTCTTCAGAGATCAAATGTCTAATTGTTTTAAAACCTTTCTTGCTCAACCTTTTTTGATGGTTTTAGTCAAACCGTTCTTACTACACACATTAATTTAAGATGGGAGTACTACCTAATTTTGCCAATGCCAAATAGGTTGTCCAATTTAACTATTTACTATAGAAACTCGCTAAATAAATTCATAAATTAATGAAGTGTGCATTATTAAAATCTATGATTAATATATTGAAGGTGTGTGATTAAAGATTGAAAATGGGGACTCATGGTTACAAGCATTCTGAAGTTGAGGGTGTTTCTTCCTGCGCCTTTTTTAATGTCTTCCTGTCTGATAATGACTTAATATTTTTAGTTTCATATTTATATTATATCGTAGATTCTCTGAGCATATGTGGTAAGCACTGCGGTGGCACAGTGCATGTGTGCATGTTTGACTGTTAAGATTTTTTATTTACATAATTCATGCATGAGAAATTGTTCAATATAGACTGAAACATCCCTGTACTTGTTTGAAGAATTAGATTTGTTTGCCTCTAGTATCTTAACCTATGTTTTTTCCGCATGTAATATCAGTACCAAATTATTGTAAAATTTAAACTATATTTTAATTTGAATTTACTTTCTTCTATTTATGATTTCTATATTCGAATGGCCATTTGGCTTATGTTGGTTAATGTTTGTGCACTCCAGCTCTTCACAACTATCACTGTCAATGAACCAGCTCCTGGTCTTAAGGCTATCTTTAACTTCAAAGTTCCTGACCAAAGGTCCGGAAAGGTAAGATAGTCAACCATTTTGCATAACAAGCTTTGAAAAACCTTTAACTCATGCTGGAATTTGCACTGTCTTAATGTTACAGGTGGAACTTCAGTACTTGCATGATTATGCTGGAATAAGCACGAGCATTGGGTTGACAGCAAACCCAATTGTCAACTTCTCTGGTGTTGTAGGAACCAATGTTCTTGCTCTTGGTGCTGATCTTTCTTTTGACACCAAAATTGGGGACTTAACCAAATCCAATGCTGGACTGAGCTTCACCAAGGATGACTTAATTGCCTCATTGACTCTGTGAGTAACTATTGCTCCTCTCAGTTTCTCTAGTTAATATTCTGCATCTAGAAAAGAAATGTAGTGTCTACTTTTTTTGGTTCAAGGCTCTAGGGTCGACCAATGAACCTTTTGAGGCTCCGCTATAGATGTATTCTTTTTTGTTTTCAAACTCTACTTCCCCTTTTTCAGAGATCAGGCTGTTTGCATATACTTGTCCAAAGTATTCCCTTGGCCTGTGCTTGTAACATACTACTGATTTTGTACGAGTTTGTTTGTTGACGAGGTGAGTTCTTGTATGCAGGAATGACAAAGGCGATGCTCTGAATGCTGCATATTATCATGTAGTTAACCCCTTGACCAACACTGCTGTTGGTGCTGAGGTCACTCATCGATTTTCAACTAATGAGAACACTCTCACCCTTGGTACCCAACATGCATTGGATCCATTGACCACATTGAAGGCACGTGTGAACAACTTTGGCAAGACTAGTGCTCTCATCCAGCATGAGTGGCGTCCCAAGTCGTTCTTTACCATTTCTGGTGAGGTTGACACCAAGGCCATTGAAAAGAGTGCCAAGGTTGGATTGAGTTTGGTTCTCAAACCCTAAGAATTTTGATTCATCTTGGCAAGAGCATTGAGGTAGGTATTAGGAAGCTTATAGTCTGTCAGACTGAATTATTTCCTTGAAGTTGGTTCTCTTATTGGTTAAGTGTTCATGGTGTTTTCGTTGCATTTGAGCAATTCAACCTTGTAAAAATAAAATAGGTTTTTTATAAACCAACTGTGACTCTCCAATGCCCAAAGCTCAGCAAGCCTCTTTTGTTGCATGAGGATTGGTACTCTTTATGAGGTTTTGACATGCGAAATTTTATATCTTCTAATTTGATGGATATTTTCTGCAATATTCCCTTGCATATTCATCTTCTATTTTTAAATATTAGGTTTTTTTGCCTTCATTTGCTTGGTTGCAGTTTTGCATCTTGGATAAAATGCATTGATGCTAGGTATAGATATTGTTCTTAATGTTTTATTGCTGTCTAATCTGCTTTCCACCCTGAATTCCTTTTTTGCCATGAGATATCTCTTAATGTTGTTTTGAAATTATATTTTTCCTTCTGAGTGCAAATTCATTAATTTATTTCAAAATAAAGATTTTAATACTACTCTCGAGTTCTTCAAACTTTAACTCTCTAATTTTTTTCAAGTTCCTCGAGCCGGCAAGGATATTTCATATGATTGGGGTACAGCATCTTCAATTGAATCTTGCCTTTGTTAACATAAATAACAAATCTTGATCAAACATTTATTTATTTTTATGTCAATTTGGTGTCATGAGTGTTACATTGAAAAGGAGATATCAAAATCCTACACCGTTAGATAACGAGTCTGTTGTATGTGTTGCAAGGACACTGGCTTTCCAGCACATCGACCGTGACAATTTGTTTAAGTTAGGTGTAAATAAAATAAAAAATTAACCTGTGGTGTCCAAAGCAATGGGATCCCGTTGAAAGTTTATTCAGATTTAAGCAGAAACTAGCTTTCTAGGTTCTCGAGATGGAAATCTACCCTTGCATATCAAATTGACTGTTTTATATTGAAATAATTTTTAATAAAGAATAGGAAAATTTATGGTTTATTCCCTGTAGTGTGCTTGGATTGTAAGAGGTTGTTGAGATATATAGAGTATTGTTTGTATCCCTTTCACTATACCCAATACCCCAATGGTATATTGCTGTCTATGCCAGTATTATAAATTTTGCTAAAAACAACTTCATATTTCGATTTTTCAACCAAAATTAAATTGTTTAGAGATTAATTATTCTCAAGCTTCAATGGTTTCATAAAGACAACACTTTACATAAAGAGTGATAAACACAACACTGCTCCTCTTCTACAGCCTATGCTATCTCTTTTCAGCATCATCTCCAATCTTAGCACACAAACTAGCTAACAATTAACAGAGTGTAATCAAAATCATACGATTGGATCCGTTCCATTGTGTTGCTGAGCCTGTACAAGGCATTACTGCTTTATCCTAAAAAGTTTGCACCTTTTTCAAAACAGTGATAAATACAATAGCATATTAAATTATTCCATCAACTATTTAAGAAATTCTGTGATATATTTTTTAAAACATCATGTGCTATATATTTATTATTGTTTTAATTATTTTTGAAAAAATACTGCTTAAAATTGGAAAAATTAATACACTTAATGAAGATAAAAAGAAATATCAATATCTTTCATGTGCACAAATTTTATTTATTGTAGGATATATCTAATCGAATTATATTTTTAACCATTGAAATATGAATCTAACTTGTTATACGTATATTTATCAATGGTTGGTTTTTAAAATAAAACATAATCTAAGTAAATTTTGAAAAATAATGTTTACACTTTTTTTTAAGTGTATTGGAAAGAAAGATAGAAGAAAATAATAATACAAAATGTAAATGTTGACATAGCCAAGAAAGAAAGAAAAAAGTAATACATATGTTATATATTTTACTTGAATGCTTTATCAAAAAAATCTTACTATATTCATATATTAAACTTCTCTTATATTTTACTTGTACTTTATTTTGATATTTCTATATATTTTCTATCACATTCTTTATCACCTTTACTAAATTTTTTTCTCTATTCTTTCCACTTATATACCAAAAGAATAAAGGATACCTTCATATTTTTCATTAAAAAATAAATTACAATCTTATAATATATTTAGATGAATTTTTTCATAGTTTATCTATAAAAAAATTACAAAGAAAAATATAAAAAATAACTTTTTTATAAACTAAAATTAACTTATGTTGAAGTTAATTTTTTTTAAAATAATATAATAGAATTTCTATGAATTAACTTTTTCATAAATAATTTTAACTTACTAAATATAGTCATCGGAAACATGTTCTGTTGCACGTAGATAATGAATCTTTTACATCTTATTGGTGTACACGTAAATTTATATTTGTTATAATTATCGACATGAAGTTAACGATTAATTTTTAAAATAACTAAATTCTTTTATTAAATTTTTTTCTCAAATGTTAAGAAATTAGATGGTTTTTTTTTTCAGATATTTAATATTATCCTGATTATAGTTAAAAGACCTATTTTTCAAATATAACCATCCATGCATTGCATGGCACAGTTCTTGTAAGTGATACATCAAAACACAGATAATCCACGTAAATTAACAAAGCAAAAAAGTTATTTCGCTGAACAACTCATTTAGCACACAAAATATAACCATCAGCTGACAGATGAAGAATGTTCAGAACTTTTTAAGTCGAACTCTAGCACGTTTCTAGTACGACACTTAATTACATTCATAAGTATTAACTAAAAGTATATTGACGAATTAGTATCTAAAAATATCTATGAATAACATGAGTTAACACGAACATCCTGTTTTCTTTACAAAAATACATTCTGAAAGGAAGAAGAAGCCTGTGAAATGGTAGAAAAAGTACAGCAACTTCACAGTAACAAATTCCCCATGTGAAAACTGTGCAGTTTTCTCTTCAAGTTTTGTCAACTGGGTCCCCCACTAAACTTTGCAATCCAGTAAACTGTCTTATGGTCCCCCCACCTTAATTGACACAAGATAAGGTCAGAAAACTCTAATGATCCCTCAAATTTTAGAGCAATTTTAAAAACACAAACCGTTTCTGTTCAGGTGATAGCCTAAGTTGAGGGCACTGAATGATAGAAAAGCAAATCAAAGAGACAACCATGATCTTATCCATTAGGCTTTGGTGACTTGATACAGTGATGATATGGAGAACCATGAGGACCTTTTGGACTTGACAAGGACCTTGCAGGTTGACCCTTCCTTGATAAAGTTGTTAACTGTGCTTGCGTACCATTTTTAGAATTTGGCATGGACATGGTTCGATCTACTCGTGCAACCTGGAAATGATAAGTTGAGATAGCCATATCCTTGAGGTTTTGCAAATGCTTCAGAGCTTGAACAACATCACTCATCATGGGTCTGGATTTTGGATCACGGCTAAGGCATTGAGCAGCCAGCTGGGCAGCCTTCTGTGATCCTTTAACAGAGAAGTGACCTTCAAGACGAGGATCAATAATCCGTAGTAACATCCTTCGGTCACCAAGCACAGGCCTTGCCCACTCCACAAGATTGTGTTCCCCATTTGGTCTATTCTTATCGATAGATCGCCGCCCGGTGAGCATTTCTAGTAGCACTACTCCAAAACTATAGACATCACTTTTTGATGTCAAATGTCCTAAACAGAATTAACAGTTAAGGTCAAAATTGAAACTGCAGTGCAAAACTATGTAATAGAGGGTATCAACTGAAGTTTTCAAGTTATTATGGAACAACCTTATGCATTTTTCCTACCTTTTATTTTGTCATTATAACAGCTTGATTTGGATAAAATTCAAGCAGTTCAACGGAATATTTATGATATGTGATGAAGCAGAAAAATATATTTAACAATCTAACCATATGTCTATATGCAACTTATAAAGTGTTTAAAGTCCTCTGGTCACCTTTCCCTGCTTTCCAAGATGAAGCATGCATTTGGTTTTGATACCCATGATTAGTTGATACATAAACATTTATTCGTTTTCAATGTCATGAACCCAAAAGCTTAAGCTGTTTGATACCCAACATAGGTCCATTCTTTAAGCAGTTTGCAATCTCTAATATTTCAACTCTTTACTAGCAAAACAAAATCTAGATCTTTTGCTGGGGGAAAATAAGCTTATTTATGAAAGGCTGGAGAACTTGTAACAACTAATACTTAGCTTGAAAATGATATTAATGCAACAAAAGCAGTGGATTGTATATTTTATTCCATTAAAAAAAACCTAGAGGCCAATAATATACACAGTCCCATATATTATTAGAAATCTAGAACCTAAATAATGTAGTTAAGTCTAAAATTAATGAAACAAAACTAGAAAGGGAAACTCACCTGTCATCACATACTCAGGAGCTGCATAACCATATGTTCCCATGACTCTTGTTGATATGTGAGTCTTTTCCCCTTCAGGACCATCTTTGGCGAGTCCGAAGTCAGATAGCTTTGCATTGTATTCCTAAAAAGAATTATGCTTTTAGATTTTTATGTTGGAGAATAGATAGCAAATAAATAAAAACTTCTTTTCTGGTCAACTCACATACCGCATCTAAAAGAATATTAGATGTCTTAAAATCACGATAGATTACAGGCCGCTGAGCTTCTTCATGGAGAAAAGAAAGACCTTTTGCAGCACCAAGTGCAATTTTCATTCTGATAGACCAAGGAAGAGGCAACGACCCTTCTGTACAATTCATGGTTGTTACCAGAAAACAATGAACTTCCTTATGCATAAAAATTTCAAGAGCATACTAATACCAGAAAGAATAATGCACTATAGGAAGAGAATCTTTTGTCATGGTTTGCATTTTCTTTAAGCATAAAGGCCTGTGTATTCTTATTCACTAATATGAATCCAAGAATTAGTTGTGAATCAATGTACAAAAATTATGAAAGAACTTCGAATGGGTAATATGGCATTAAAGTTCGTATTGACAAAAGTAGTAGTGTCAGAAAAAATCAAGATCATTTCTGAACTTTATGGTATAGTTTTGATAATTTTGAGTTAATGTATGTGAAGAAAATCCAAGTTTGCTGCAGCAACAAGGGAAAACAGATATAAACAAGCAGTAGTGAAGACATGATTAGAAATAAAACGGGTTCAAAGCGTACTTCTGAAGAGGTGGTTCTCCAAACTTCCACGGGGCATACATTCATAAACCAACAATCTTTGGTCATCTTCAATACAGAAACCAACCAATTTAACCAGATTCGGATGGACAAGGTCACCAAGAATGTCTAACTCTGCCTGAGAAGGGAGAAAAAACAGGGAAAATGTTAACAAAGATAATTGTAAGAGAAAAAAGCATAGAAGGAAAAACATCGAGAAGAAGATTATATCAGTTTCATACAAGCCACTCTTTGTGACCCTGAAGTCCATCATGGTTGAGAGTTTTCACAGCTACAGTAAGCCCAGTACCAGGTTTCACAGGTGCAGTTCCATTTTCCTCAATCCAACCCTTGAAAACACATCCAAACCCTCCCTCACCAAGAAGACTCTCTGGTCTGAAATTCCTAGTGGCCAACTTAAGCTCATTGAATGTAAATTTTCTCAAACGAGAAGAAACCTTCAACTCCTCACTGAATTTTGGGGTAGAAGGGACACTTTCTGCATTACTGGTTGTTGTAGAGGACCCTGGAAGAGCGTTCCTTTCCTTCTTGTTTTTCTCATATGCAGATGTTTTTTCCACTGCTTAAAAAAATAAAAAAATAAACTATCACCTCTTCAGGATCAATAATTGAAAAAAAAAAAAACTAACACATGATCTGAGCCAGATGTGCAACACTTTATGCAACTTCATTATAGGATAATATTGTTACTAGATACAAACGCACAGAGTGGTGGTAAATGGTCATGCAATAATGGTTTTGTCCATCAAGGCAATGAAAAAACTACACTTTCATTATACTAAGTTTCAAACCATGATATCTGTTTTCATTACGATGAATCTACTAAAATCATCTTCCCTTTATCTTTTCTGGTTTAGTAATTGAACGTATGAATTATGACCTTCACTGAAATCTCACCCCACCATTGCCATCTAAGGACCCCAAGTTGCTATTAAATTGTCATAACAGTTGAGTAGATACGTTCCTCGGCCTTATTTATGGAGAAGAACAAATGGAGATAGCGCAACTGCTACTGTTTACAGAAAGATTATGCAATTCTTCAATGGTAATGCACACCAGATAATTGTTTTGAAACTCAATTGTTTGCAAAAACATTAGGCAGTCCTACGACTACCTCCACGAGTTGAAGTACATAAAACTTCACATTACTTTAATCAACTCAGAAGTTATATTGTTTCCAAAAATTCGGAGAGATAAACGGGTGGATTCAATCAAAGGGTAGAGATAAAAAGGATTTATTTTCAACCAAAATTAATGTCAAATGGAAATCATTACCTTAAAGTAAAGAAGAGAGGCATATAAACAAGGATAGAAAATTACCACTGTTAGCGCTAGTGCCACTGATGGAGTTATCAACCTTTGATCTTGAAGGTATACAGCTCCCAATGAAACAGAATTTAACACAGCACCCAATTTCCTTTTCTGCACCGTCCTTCTGCATCTTTACCTTTGACTTCCCCACATCCAAACTCCCTGCCTGAATTGCATTATTCCCAAACCCCATCCTCCACAAACTCTTACAGAGAGCTTTTCATGCTCAAAAGTCCCCACAAGTTTCAGACTTTTGGATAAAGAAAGGAAAAAAAAAAATAAAAAGGCTCTTCAAGCAACCTCACTTCCAATAATTGAAGACCCTGCAACCCATATCATGATCATGACCATGATCACAATCAAAATCAAACAGAACTAAAAGAAGAACATCACCGTTGGAATCAGAACAAAAGGATCAACACAAGTACACAGATAAACGAGTAAAAAACAAACAAAGGCACAAACCCAGTTCTGAAAATCAGTCCAAAGGGGGTGTAGGTGGTGGAGGAGAGAGGCAGTGGGAAACTGCATGTGAAAGAGAGAGTTTTTCAACAACGGGCCGGCCGGGCAGGGTTCAAATGTGAAAGTTGGCAATCGGGCAGGGAGGGCAGGAGAGAGAAAGTGACAGCCATTTCTTTATGTTTTTGCTTTTTTGAGAAGAGCACTTGCTAGTTACAACTTACAATATCTACTTTCCTCTTATTTGTTTGACTTTCATTTTTGCACTCTGAATTATTTCTCACACAAGATAATCTTGTTTTTCCCCAAAAATTATATACCAAATATCTCAATCATTAAATCAAAACCATAATTAAGTGTTACGTAAGTTTATAGATGAATACGCACATTTGGTAGCTTATCTTCGTACACAACCATCATAAATTAATGGACTACTTCATTATATTGTTTTTCATTTGTGTGAAATTTAATATGCATGATAAAAAAAACATAATGGTAGATTAATTAATTCATATTGTACATAAAATTATTGAATGATGCAAGCGTAAACATTTAATATATGGCGTCAATTTTTCGGAGTCAATATGTGTGTGTTGCATTTAACTTTTAAAATGTCTAATTATGCTCAGAGACAATAATTATGAGAAGTGTTTATAAAGTGGTGTAAGCCAATTTAGGACTTAGGAGCAATTGCACTATGTTTGGTTCCATCACTCACAATATGCCACGTTATTCTGATTACTTTTTTTTTTTGTCTGCAACATAATATTACCCATATTTGGTGTACTGGAATGGGACAACTCAGGAGCAATATAGAATAGTGCCTAACTTTTGAAACGTTTTTTGAGCCAATTCGTGGAGGGAGAAAGAACAAGAGACAATGGAATCAATCATTTTCAGAGTGCCTCGCTGGGCCTTTTAATGGTTGGGTTCTGTCACTCACTGTGTGTGGCCCAGTAATACCATAATTTCTTTAATTTTTAACTTATCTTTTTCATATATTTTTTAATTGCAGCATTAAAACTTATTTTTTGTAATTTTAATAAATAGAATGAAAAAGGAAGAGAAGAGAAGAGAAGAAAAGGAAATATTCCATAAAATAAATAAGAAAGGACAAAAGAAGTTGGAAACTTGAGTATCATATACACGAAAGCAAACAGAGAAAATTGTTATAATTAGAAGGCATGTGGGAACAAGTATAAACAGAATACGGTCCACGACAAAAATAGTACCACACACACGAATAAATAACAGACAACAAAAGAGGTTGTATGATTGTTTATGTATGCCTCTAGTTCCACTTATTTAGACTTAACCAAGTTTTATTTAGACACATGTTTATTCCTTAAAATAGAAGAAGCTGCTTTTTTATGTTGTGTTCTATAGGATAATTATTCATCTTTTATACTTTAAGAAATCATTATAAACTTCAAATATATAAAGAACACAAGTTATTTTTGGATATAGGGACTCTTACTATTTGTTAAAAACACACAAGTTTTTTAGATGTATTAAATATTAATAATAAATAGATGTTTGAAGTTTATAAAATATATTTTGAATTTAAAATGAATTTTTTAATTGTAATATAAGTTTTTTTTTTAATTAAAACAATATTTGAAAGTCAAGTATAGGTATAAAATTTTTCAAAAGATAAGCTGAAATAGTTGAAAAAGATGTTTCTTTGTTAGCTGTGGCACAGTGTGTGAATGTATTTCAAAGAAGGAAGAAAGAGAGTGATGAAATACCTAATTGAAAGAATAAAAAAAAAGTGATATCATTGCATTTGGATACAATAAAAGAATTCAGTTTTTACTTAATAAAAAATTTTAAAAAATGCATGAATTTAAAAGAGAGAAAGGATAAATTTGGAAACAATTTCATTAAAACTTATTAAAAATTATCATAATTTTTACACTGAAACTGATTTTTGGTGGTTATTTAAATTAGGGGATGTTTGATGTTAGCAAATTTACTGTAAAATGTTCAAATAATAGTTAACATATCTGAATAGGATTTAAAAAAAAAAAAAAACTACGATTTGTTGATTAGTAGGTGTACGATAATTAATATAAGGCATTTAAGGCTTAATCTAAAATCCTACAAGTTTAAATCTTCATGGGGTCTTATTGTTTATTCAAGTAAATACAAGTTTTCAAAATTGAAGTCTATTTACTTTTGATTTTATTTTATTGCATGTATACTTCACAATTACATCACCAAATATCTGAATAAAATTGATAAAGACTTAAGTTATGAAAGAAAATAAATAAAGGATCTCTATGAATAATTCACATAAAAAATCGTATTTTGATAATTAAAAAAAAAACTTGTGAAGTAGAAAGAAAAAGAGATTAAATTTTACATAAAATAAAATTAATATTTATAAATTATACAATTAAAAAGTATCTATTTAAAACTTAATGCGATAGTTTTTTTTTATAAAACAACTAACGTATAACTTAAGTTTAATTATATATATTTTGTAAATACTTTTGAAAAAAATCTATTCAAATAAAGTTATTATGATTTGTTGTTATGTTGATATTTGACATGATGAATTTTTTTCAACTGAAGTAGATATTATGATTAAATTTTATGGAAAATTACATTTATCTCGTGTTAAATAATATTTGTACCTGTTTTAATTGTTAAAATAGTTACTCATTTTCTCTAAGTTTTTATTTTAAAAAATAATAGTTTTTTAATTATAAAAAATAAATCTTATTTTTTTATAAATAAAATTGGACTTATTTAATTATGGAAAATTTTGCATCCATCAATCTGAGATTTTTTTGTTTTTAAATGATATTCATTTCTTTTTAAATTTAAAATGGATATTAACATCTCTTATATTAACATTCTTATGTCATTAATAACATAAAATTTATATCCTTATTTTATTTATATTCATAGTTTTTATAGAATATTTATATTAATATAAAAATTATAGTTAAACATAATAGTAAATATAATCATACACTGTATAACCATTTAATTATTTTATATTGATTTTTTAAATATATTTTTTAATATTTTTAATAAGACAATTTATATATGAATTATATTGATTTAATTTTATATTTAATTTTTATAAAATTTATTTAAATTTTTAATCAATTTATTATTATATAAAATAAAAGTACTAAATATCACTTTATTAAATTTAAAGGAGACTAATATTATTTTATTAAAAATGTAAACAAAATAGTGTCTTTTAAATATTATAGTTGCAACTATTATTTTATTAAAAATTTAATAAAAAAAATATCTATTTAAAAATGTAAAATTTATTTAATATATTTTAAAGAGAGACCATTTTAGTTATTTTTTTTTAAATTTGGGTTGAACGAAGTTTTTGAACTTTTAACTAGCACCTTCATGTATTTGGGCTTCTTGACCCATCTTCAAATTTTTACTTTGTCACCCCAAGTTTTTATCCTTCATCTTCGTATATTTTTAAATTTTATTTTGTTTCTCTTTAACATATTTACAATAGTGAAATTATTATTCCAGACTATACTTTTAATTTTCCTTTTAGAATGTATTACTTTAAATCATGTAAATAATGTTTATTTTCTGGAATATATTTACAGTTTTTTCATCTCCGAACTAGTATTAAAAATGATGCAAAATTAACATAATATAACTGTTGAAGTGGCATTTTAATATGATTAATTGAAGTCCCTTTAAGATCATCAACTTAGCATAAACATTAAAGTGACACTGAAATATCAAAATAGTATAATCACAATATTTTGGGAACTTTGTCTCAATTTTTTTTATTGGACTTTTAATACATTTAATTTTTATCATATTAATAAATGAACAATTCTAATTATAAGCATGGAAAATCAAAGAGAAATTAAACCTTAAAAATATTACAAACACAAAGATATAACATCATCGTTATAAGATTTTACTTTCGTTACTAAACATATAAAAATATAAATATTCATACATATGCATCTAAAAAATCAAATTAACTTTACGATATACTTATATTTATAAAAAACAAATTAATTGAAAAATATTTTTACATTTATAAAAGATTGTAATTAAAATAAAAACATATAACATTTATATTATTATTTTTATTCATCACATTCCAAAACAAAACAAACACGAGTTGTTATAAATAAGCAATTTATATAAATTACACGTAATTATATAACAATATTGTGTCCAAATTTTTTAAAAATAAAATAATATATTTTTAAGATTCAAATACTTAAAAAAATATTATATTGAATTGTGTAGGGAAAACTAATATATGATATCACTTTTTAATATCCATTTACTATTCTATTTATCCACATTTATAGTAATTCCTTTAAGTTTAAAACAGTAAAAGGAAACACCTTCAAACATATTAGATATTCAAATCCCAAATCACAGCCCGAAAACTTATTACTATATACAACACCCACAAGTTCTTATGCTCACCCCTCCATTTATATAACTTCCTAAATTCTAAACTAACTCAAATATAACACACAATTAATTAATTATCACTTTTAAATTAACTTGCACACTTATCTTAAGACGACAAATAGATTAATAAACTGTTTCAATTTTTTTTTCAAAAAATTAAAAAATTAAGAACATACAAATATTAAATTAAGATATTATATTATTTTCTTAATTTACATTTGTTATTTTTTTAAATTTGTGTAAACAAATTACAATGATTTTAAAAGTATATTATAAAATAAGAGGAAAAAAGATATATCAACGTTGATTTCTCGTTTCTTTCACTGATTACTCTTATATCTTTGGAACAGAATTAAGGAAAATACAATATAAAAAAAAATACATTAAGAAAAATAAGTAAAATGTAAAAGTTTTTATTATAAATTTAAAATATTTATTAATAAAAAATATAAACTTTTATTGTAAAATAATTAAATATAATATAAAAATATTATACATAATTATAATATTCATAATTTTAATTTTTATATATAATAAATGTCCTATATAATAAGATTTGATTAAATTATTTATAAAAAATATAATCTTATAATTTTATTTTAAAAATATATATTATAATATCGATTGAGTTTAATTTATATTAAATTTTTATTTTTAAATTCAAAATAAAATAAAATATATTTATTTTTAAATTTTTCAATAAAAAATAATTTTTATCCACTTTAATTTTTTTTATTGATTTTCAATTTTATCTTTTGCTCACCTCGATTTTTGATTCTAAATCCTATATTCTAATCCATTTCTACATAAAAGGACACCAATATATTTGTCACCACTCGGCAGTTAATTTTAATTTGGTTAGGTTGTTATCATTAATTTAATAAAACTTGTCCTTTCTACTTTAAAAACATCGATACTGAGAGCAAGATGACTACTTTAAAAACATCGATACTGAGAGCAAGATGACTTTTTGACAACGTGAATTTGAATTTCCAAAAAAAAAAAAAAATCTGTATTCTTACTTGTGGAAAAGAAAACCGAGGAAAAATAAAATATATAATACATGCTTATCATTTGATTAAAAAACACAAATCACTGTCACTTTGTGCCAACTAAGATTAATTATCTATTTTTAATATAGTTTATTTATACACTGCTTAATAAAAATTATTTTCAAATATGTTTTTTTTTTTACAAAGCAGTTTATTGTTAACTTTAGTTGCAACGAATAAAAAATGTGATTTATTTTTTATTAAACATGGCCACTTATTTTTTTCTTTATAAAGATTAATGTGTTATATTTATAACATGGTAATTCAAAACTTACTAATATATCATTTTTTTTTGTCTCTTTAATAAAAATAAGTTCATTTAAGAGTATCATGAAAAAAAAATCAATGTTTGGCCAACTTCTAAATCTATTACTATTAATATTTATAACTTCTAAAGGAATAAGCAAATTAAATTTAAAAATTGATGAAAATATCCAAAACAACTTAAATCAAACTAAACGTATATAATTTTATATATAATTTATTATATTACTAAAAAAAAAATAACAAAAACAATGTAAATGTTTCGAATCAATTTGTGTTGATCATAGTCTGATTTGAACTATGTTGATTTAGTTCGAATTTTATTAAATGAAAAAAGAAGAAGGGGCACTTATTAATATATTCTCGTACTTAAATTAATATATGCCTATATTTTATAAATATTATATTCTATATGAAATTACGTAATTTATACACTTTTTATTAATATTATTTTAAATAATAAACGATATTTATTAATGTATTTAGTATAACATTAAATAAAACTATTATATATATATTATTATTTAATATTTTTTTTAATATTTTCGTTAAGAAAATAATCTCGGTACATATTCTATCACATATTTCCATTTTTATTTCTCATGTACTTATAAAACTATTACATAGCTTATACTTATTATTTATGAAAAAAAAATTAATTAAAGGTATCTAATGATTTGTAAATAACATATTTAAAATTGTTTTAATATATTTTAAAATTTATTTATTATATTGAAAAACAAAAGGAAAAGATTAAAACTTATCCAATCCAAATCATTCTAAACTGGATTATACTTAATTTTTAAATCAAATTAATTAACAAAATAAATTAGAAAGTAAATGGTTTAATTTGATGATTTTTTTCTGTTCGGAGTTATTTCAATCCAATCTTCAGAATTAACATTTTTAATTGTTTATGTTAAAAAAACATTTGTAATTGTCTATTTTAGTTTATATCTATCTCTACTTTCAAATTAAAATTTTATAATAAACTTTAATTGAGTATAAAAACAAATATATATATATATATATATATATATATATATATATATATATATATATATATATATATATATATATATATATATATATATATATATAAAGGCGTGGGAAGCAAGCGCAGCACAAAGAATAGATAGTGAGAAAGGAATACCGAGTATCACCAAAACGAACAAATGGGAGGAATTCTTTCTTTTATCGTTGGCGCCGGCGGCGATGCCCCGTCGTACTCGGAGGAGCCTTCTTGCGTGGAGGTGTTCCACTCGTCGGCTCGTTGGCAGCTCCACTTCAACGAGCTCAAAAACACCACTAAGCTCGTAATCCCCTATATCTCAAATTTTCCCCAATATCTCAAATTTTCCCCAATTTTATTTCCTATGTGCCGGATCTGAACTTTAATCTTCTTCTTCTTTTCATTGAACGTTAATTAGATTGTGATAGATTTCTCGGCGTCGTGGTGCGGTCCTTGCAAAACCATAGAGCCAGTGATTCACGCCATGGCCAAAAAGTACACCGCGGTTGACTTCGTCAAGATCGATGTTGACGAATTATCGGTGATTTTCGCTTCCGTTTCTTATTTCTCTGCTTAATTGACTTCAGTTGTTGTTTCCGTGAATGGTTCTGATTTTTTTTGTGTGTGTTTTGGAGTAGGATGTGGCACAGGAATTTCAGGTGCAGGCGATGCCGACGTTCGTGTTGGTGAAGGAAGGCAAGGAAATTGACAGGATTGTTGGCGCCAAGAAGGACGAGCTCGAGAAGAAGGTTCAGAAGCATTCATGACAATCTTAGCTCTTCAATACTCTTTATTGAGCTATGTATCTTTCTTTTTCAAGGGAGAAAAAAAAAATGAAAACAGGAGTATAGTGTTATGATGATGATGATGATGATGGGGTTGTAAGATTTGAACTTGTTGCTTTCTTCATTAAGATTATGTCTGTTTCATAGTTAGCAAATTATTATATAATGAAATTAAAATACTATCTCACTTTGGGTGTTGCGTTTGTGTTTAATTTCTTATTTCTTGATTGCGTGAAACGGTAGCATGTACATGGGATAAAACTTAGATGTGATATTGATTGTGATGTTTTGTAATCAGATTTGAAATTTCACTTCAAACGAGCGTGCGACGTTTTTGGTAATTTTCTTACTGTTCTGAAAACTTATTCGATTACTTGATTCTTTTAATTAAGCAAGGATAAAGTTTTTTATATTATTAACAAACTATGACTAGTTAAGATTATTGACTTCTTGATATATATAATTTACTGGATATTTTTTAGTTCCTTATTTTGGTCATTGTTAATGTTGAACAGATGATGTTAACTTGTCATGTTAACCAAAAGGATTAGGTGTAAAAATTACCATGTCATTAAAAGTACTGTTAGTAGTATTATGTCATTAAATATGTCAAAGGGTATATTTAAACGAGTTTTTTCATGAAACAATAATGAAAATGAAACCATTTTTTTATGTGCATAAAATTAGTTTATAAATTAAAAATGCTTTTTATAAAATTATATACTAGAAAGTCTATCATTTAGTTTTACACATTGGGTATGTTGACGACAACATCAGATTCCAGTACGGACTTGAAGCTGAGTAACTCGCTTGGAGTAACAATTTGAGTAATGGCGAAAATATGGTAGGAGAGACAATGCTGGGTGAGGAACCAAATCCCTTAAATTACATAATAATACGTTGTCAGGGTGTACAGAGAAGTCAATCGGAAGAATGTAACCCAAACTATCATTAGATCAAAGATTATTCGCAATTAGATTTTGTCATTCACACTAATCATAAGAAACATCCTACAAACTAATCATAAAAATGTTCAATTTAGTTTAATTTAAATCTAATATAAAATTTGCATGAAAACATTTTTTTGTAATTCAGTTTGAATTGATTTCTATAATATTTACTACTATCAAATTATAAATTATTTTTTGAAAAACTATTAAATATTTTATAACAAAAAACATTAAGTTGAAACATTTTGTGACTTTTGTTTGATATAATTATTGGTGTGATTTTTTGTAAGATTGTTTCTCCCTATTTAAACCAATAAAAACATATTGATAGAAGATTCAATGATTGATTCCAAAGTAGTTAATCACGACAATAAACGGTATCCTCGACGTAGACTAAGAAAGATAGTACCATTGAACATTGACATATAATGCATTGTGGAAGTAACGAAGATCTTATTGAATCATTTGATTAAACCAAGATCTTGTTGATTTGATGAAGTCAAAATGAAGTCAAAGACTATTCTGTTGCAGTCAAATGTTACTTGGTCAAAAGGGTAGAGTGATTAGTGAGTCTGCATCTATACATAGGTATAATCATTCATATCTCTCTGCTGCATGAGGTTTAATCATTTAAAAGATTTTGCAAGTGCCTCTAAAAAGTGTTTAATCTGATAAAAACAAAATATTTTGTTAAATGGTTTTTAAGTAACTGTTTTAACTGATATTATATGAGTTTTATCAGTTAAATGTTCTTAACACTTTCGTAACAGATTTTTAACTGATAGATTTTCGAAATAATCGATTGAAACCTTTTAAAACATACACTGGAACTGTTTTAATTGATATGTCTTCTAAATAATCGATTGTTTTCATTAAAAGAGTTTTTGAAAACCTTCTGCCAGTATTTTAACTAATGTAGAATCGAAATAATCGATCAAAATGACTTAAGATATTTTAAAAAATGTTCTGCGAGAATTTTAATCGATTAAAATAACTTGAAGTTTTTTGAAAGATGTTATGTCGAGTATTTTAATCTATGCAAATGTTAATTAATGGATTAAAACAACTAAGAGATTTTTTCCAGAGTGTTTTAATCGATTAAAACAAGTCTGTTATCAGTTAAAATGACTTAGAAAGTTTTATGAAACTTTTTGGCAGAATTCTAATCGATTAAAATATGAAATAATCGATTAAAATAATTAAGAGATTTTTTCTAAAGTGTTTTAATCTGTTAAAACAGATTGTTATCAGTTAAAATGACTTAGAAAGTTTTAGGAAAACATTTTGCAATATTTTAATCGATTAAAACAATTTAAAGGATTTTTTACAAAGTGTTTTAATTGATATAAACGTTGTCAGTATCGGTTAAAACAAATATGAAAAATGATCAAGAACATTTTGACAGATTAAAAGAAGTTTTAACAGATTAATTCAAGACTTTTAACAGATTAAAATATTGTTTTAACAGATTAATTAAACCAGCAGTTTGAACAATCTTTTATATAAACAGGATTGCTTGAGTCTTTTAAAATACACCTTTTGAGCAATCAATCAAGCAATCATAAGTGTTACTTTCAAGAAAGAATCATGCATGTTTTGTGAAATTTTTCGAAGTTCTTTCTTGAGGCAAATTTTGCATTCTTTTGATGAAGAAACTCATTCTGCAGAACTGCATAAACCGGGTTTGAGTGTTCTAGTTTCTTCTCTTTGTTTCTTTACTTTTCTTTACTGTATTGTGGGTGTCTGGAAGTGTGAGCACTGGTTTCTGTGGTTGGAATTTGGCTACAGGATTGTTCAAGAACTGGAAGTTGGTTCTTGGTAAAAGTTTAGGTGCAAGGACTGAAATTTTGGTTATTGTGATAGATGTGGTGTGTGATTGAAATGGTAATCTATAAAACATTCAATTTAGTGGAACTCAACTGAAATTTAGCTGAGAACTAGACATAACCCTCTGATTGGGTGAACCAGTATAAATTTTGGTTGTATCTTTCTAAATCTTTCTCTCTTTAATTATGTTATTGTCTTTATTTTGATTAATTGTTTTGTTTAATTCAAGAATTAATATTTGGAATAAATAATATGTAATTTACGATCTTTCAAAGATATTCATCCCTCCTTAATCTCAGCCTAACACACTGCGTTGCGTTTTGACGCAGCAGCCAACTGAACTTGAAATTATAGTCGCTATTGCGTTGAAACGATTACTTTGATTTGGATAAAATTTTGCGAACTACCTCTCAGCAGCCGAAATTTTAACTGGATCCAGCCACGCCTGTCTATTTTCCAACAATCCGAGTTCCATCACCCGTTTTCCTTCCCATAATCCCCCTTTTTGGATAAAAAACATAATAATAGAAGAAGCTGGACAAGAATCTGATTTAACTATTGTTATTTTTTACAACTTCCATCATTTTTTGGCTGAAAAATGTTTGCCTCAAAATTTTTCCAAAAGAGCCCCAAGCTCGCTTTGGTTGTCATCAGAATTTTCCCATGTACAATAAGAAACATGAAGTTGGAACATAAAAGTAGAGGGAAAAGAACTGAACAAGTTAACTATTTCCCATTAGAATGGGCGTGCTTATGGAAAGGCCAAAGGTTTACTAGACGCTCAAGTACGCTTTTAGAGAAATAGCCAGAGAATCCTGCAGGGGTTGCTGGTGGAGGGAAGTCTTCTGCAGGCATAGCAAATGGACGAATCATCATCTCCATTTTTTCCAATGTGAGATAGGAACCTACTTCTTGTAGCCTTTCAGGACCCATAATAGGCAGTGTGTGCTCCTGATGTAACGAAGCTGCCTCGCTATCATTTTTCTGTAAATAATACAACGAACAGAAATAAGCTAATGAAGAAATTCAATACATAAGCATATATTTGTCACATGAAAAGTCGTCAAGGGGAGAACTGTATCATGTCAATAAAAGGAATTTTCACGAAAGTAACGTGAAAACTGAAGCCTCATAAGGTTGTGTTATGGGAGGCTATCGGACTTAGAAATTTTGAAGCTTCAAACCAGTTGCACCATTTGTATCCTGATGCCCAATGGATATTGAATTGAATTTCAATTTCAAACCGTACACCAGATAGTGAATAGAATTCAAACCCCTCTTCTAGATTGCTTATTAGTAAACAATATAAATTGGATATCATTTACCTCCAAGGGGGATAAATCAGCACCACGGCTAAAGGTTAGCTCTATGCGGAACCTTTTTGGATCTTCCAAGGCCACCTGCCATTTGGAAACCAAAAGTAAAATCAATATAACATAGATACTACAGAAACTACACAGCACATAACTCCGGATAATTATACCCCGGCAAAATAATGAAAAAAAAGACAAATGTTCCGTGAGGTAACTCTCTTTCTCTGTTCTCACAGCCTTAAGCTGCCTATTAGTTAGCCCAGTGAGTTGTTGCTGCCAGCTGGCATAGTTAGTAGGGCCTCTAGGATTCTGAATAGCCTTGCTAAAGGTAGCTTCATATACTAATCCAGCATGCATGGATTCTTTAGGCTGTTCTATTTTTGGTGGACTCTCCTATTTCCACCGAACACATCATCACACCTATTCCACCGAACACACACTTCACAACTGAACGGCAGTGTTAATTTAAAGAGAATATGGGCACTTGATCACCTTACCCTAAGTAGGGGTGGAAAGATTGACGAATCCAATAAATTTTATTTTATTTTATAAAAAATATTAATCCATTTAAAAATATAATCAATAAATCTTATCCATTGGATAAAATTCAATCCTTCTACTAATTTTTTAGGGATATATATTCAGTTCATCCATAAAAATATTGTTTTACAAAATAAAAGTATATCTTTAAAATAATAGATGGGAGAATCCATTGGATTAATTCTCCATAAAATTAAATAGATGAATTTGATGATTAAGTGGATTGAATGGATGGGAGGATCCATTGTAATGAATGGATTTACATAGATGGATGATGACTAAATGGATTATTTTGTCACCCCTACCTTATGGTACATTTCTACAAGTTATCCAGCCATGAATCCAAGCTACTAAAAGGCTTAAAATAATCATCAGCAACACATCACACCATTGTGTACACCCTCACTAAGCCATGTGGCTTGCCCTGCCCTCAATGGGATAGCCTCCCCTCCCAGTGAATTCTTTATTTTCTACCAAAAACAAAAAAGTTAAAGGACCAAAATAATTACCTTTTTAGTCCTAATATTTATTTATGTTTTTCATTTGGTTTTATTAATAAAAAGTTCAACCAACTCCCTCAATTTCAAAAATGCAATAATGTGACTCTTTCAAAGTTCAATAAAATCCTTCAATTTTTAAAAAAATGTAATAATGTAACTATTTCGTATGTTGAAATTAACGTAGTTAGATTTATAAATTGTCACTATCTGTTTTATAAATTATATTATGTGTTAATTATAACCATCCATATTTGTTTGCTATGATTTTAATGCTAATTAAATGAAAAGAGATTATATTGTTACGTTTTTTTTTATTGGTCCTATTATTAATAGTGAAACCAAATTTAATAAAATAAATGTGGAACTAAAATTATAATTAAGTCTTTTTTCGATTAACATCACATAGAAAATGCCAATTAGCGGTAATTGGTAAAAGACTAGGTAGGTTGTGGCAGGCATGCAGTAACAATCAGAAACATTGCTTGGGCAAGGCCAAAATAACCTACCTCCGTGTTTTCAAACATCCTCAGCACAATGTAGCTCATATAGTCAAGCTCCTTTGTTCTATAAAGACGCTGTAGAGCGTTAAAGCAAACGAGGCTCTCTTCTTCTAGAAGAGATTCATCCAAATTACAATAACGAAGAACATTCATGAGAGAGTGGATATGTGATTCCTGTAAACATAAATAATAGTTAAAGACAAAAGTATGGAAATAAACTTAGATAAATCATGCATATGTCAAAATATATGAGCCTGAGGTTGCACTTATTAAGAAATTTTAGATAAAGGCACTATAAACCTATTCGTTCAACATAATTTCACACTTAAACAACAGCTTTAAATTTTATATTTGGGGGAAGGGTCGGTGTCTAACTGCTTAAGAGAACAAAATTCTCCTAGAGCCTATCATTTCCTTTCACATAACTCAAATTTGAGAATCAACACCTTGATAAAATCCGAGCTAGTTTGTCACAAGACTTTGTTATTCTTGTTATGTTACAATACAACATGAACAAAACATCATTAATCAAGAAGATTCCTTCCAAATAACTTTATTCAATTTCCCTTAACAAGAGCGCAAATCATGCTAGCAGCTGGACCAGAATATCCAATCAAACACGCTTTGCATGCCTTCTAGTTTTGTGTACACCCCCCTGGAGCCCAACAGTTGTCTTCAATATATGATTTTTTCCACATCTATTTATTTTATTTTCCAATTTTTATTTTAGTTTTGGACTAAGCCAGTCATTAAACCAGTTTGATGTAAAGTCCAAGAAAACACAAGATGAGAAGGATCCCAATCTCCAAGATTGTGGGAAAAAACCTTAAATGTCACTCACGGAAAAATACTGTTTGGGAATAATATACCACTTAACAAGTTAAAGATGTTCATAAGAATAGTTAATCAGTAATCTATCAATGATTGGATTAACCAGATTTGAAAGACTTTAACATCACAAAAAGAAGTTCAGGTATAAATTTCTGTTAAAGGTTTATTAACACAATCTGAAAGCACTCACTGATGTGAAGTATAGGCGTGTTCGCACATGACGTTCAGGTGTCTTTACATTTGCATACCTGGTGGTGGACAATAAATAAGTATTAGAATGGGTGTAAAAAATGTACAAAATAAAAAAAAAACAATATATTTACTTCGGATCCAATCGGTATTTAGTCTCTTTATCATCATCATCATCTTGATCCATTGATATATCATTCGAAGTGATGGATTTCCTTATTTCATCATTCTTATTCGGAAGTTTTGACTTGGCCTCTGTATCTTCCTTTTCAGTTTTCGCGGAAGATGAATCATGGTCTTGGTTACTCCTTAACTCAGCAACACTAATGGCTTCCTCTCGAGTGTTCCTCAGATCAATTAAAATTTTACCCAATAATCGTCGTGCAATCTGAATCAAATCAACACGAACAGTTTAAACATTGTAACAACAGTTGACAATTTTTACTCGATACTAAACGTAACCTGCCTAATATTCAATTTTGTTCTTATTTTACTTTAATCATCCCTTCATGTCTTGCAATAAATTTTATATGCTGAAGTGATTTTTTTTTAAAATAATATTAAAGTAAAATTAATCTGTATGACCCTGAACTATTTGGATGTATTTAAATATACTATACAAATTTACACTTGGATCCTAACTTATAAATAATATTAATTAGTTGTTTGACCAAATTCTCATTAAGATACCGTTGAGTAAAAGAGATTCGAAATTTTTAGATAGTTCAAGGAACTACTAGATAATTATACTACCAATTTAGTCCTAAACTATTTGAAAGTTTTCATTAAGATTCCTTATACCAAGACATTACCTTTGAGCCAATCTTTAGCTTCTGCTTTGGATTTATTCCATATTCATTTGGAATTACACCATCAGCAAGTGCCTGCAAATAATAAGGAATATTACATGTGGCTGTGTTATTTCTACAAGGGAATACTTGAGTCTTCTAGTTTCTTAAAACCCAAATCTTTTTTCAAAGTGGGAAAGCCAAAAACACTAATCAAAATTTTATGAAAAAGGTTTACCGAGTAAAAGGTGCTCAGGCTTGGCAGTAAGGTTTTCTTTCAACAAGGATAAATACAATAACAAATAACGACAATAACCTTATTCCACTAGATGATGTTGGCTACAAGGATACAGGTATAAAGGCAACAAATTACATGTGAATTGAAGTTAAAAACTGAAAAAAAAAAAAAAAGTGCAGAGGGAATACTTAGATGTAATAATATCATGAATGAGCAGACTGGCGGATCTTCTTGGGAACTGAGAGGCTCATGGCACCCCTAAATTTTGTAATTCCCATGTAATTTATAATTTTGGTCCTTCCAAACTTTAATATATTTACTTGTATATTTATAATTTTATCTTCTCAGTCTCTCCTCAGTTTTGTAACTTTTATATAATTTATGATTTTGTCCCCTAAACTTAATGATCATTTTATATATTTACTTATACATTTACAATTTTATCCTCTCATCTTTTTATTTTCTTTCACCCTTTTATATTTATTTATTATTTTTTAATAATATATTATTTGGTCCCCCAAAATCAATGGTCAAGATCCACCACTGAATGAGCATGCAATTGTGCTCAACCCCCGGTACCATGGAAAATTAACAATAGTTAGCCATCCAAAGTTATATCTCACTCGGGCTTATAAAGGTTCAAGCAGTTATACTTGAGCACAAATTTCCTTAGCAGAACTCATACCTGTGCAACTTTAAAAAGCTCATCCAATCCGTCTAGATTAAGGTGTGCGTTATGTAAGAGATCATATCTGTAATAAGAAAGTAAATGTTAACTTATCAAACATAAGGAATAAAAGAAGCTACATAGTTTTAACGAAACTGCCAATTTTTTCTTCATATTGATAAAGTTTCAATTTATACACAGCCATATTGAGAGTAATAGGTGCTTGGCTGATACTAGCTCAACATAGAAATTTCCATTAAACAAATGTATCTGTAGTGGGTTTCCCAAAGTTCAACAACTAGTTAATAGTATCAACTCAAATACCTACATAGACACATTAGACATACAACTGGTTGGAGGGACGGTTGAAAATAATAGACCAGTAGAGAATAGATGGACAGTAGGGTAAAATTAGGGAAGAAGACGAAGAGAATTGGGACAAACAGTCAAAATTTTAGTTATTAATCGAAGCTAAGAATTTCAGCTGAAAAAACCCACAACATGGCTCAGTAGAAAAGTTTAGTGGAAGTCATGCACCAACATCTCGAGTATATAGAGAACATATAGTTTAACTTTCTTTTGAACATTGTTATTGCATTAGTTGTTGTAGCTCAGCAGTGCTAGTGACTGCCATCTGTAGCTTTTGTTTTAAGCTTCTTTTGCATGTCAATGTCCAATTTACTATTAACTACTGACCTGTGAGTTCAGATAATCAGAAGTTAATAAAAATCACAATTTATCAACTTCTCTTAAATTCTCTGAATAGTAGAATTCTTCATCTTGCTATAAGTTTCTGCCAGTTACTCAGACTTTGATCGGTTATTTCTTCCCAACAATATGACACAAACTTTTATTCGTTAGCTTCAATCTTCATTAAAATTTGAAGCATAAATTCATATTACTTCATTTTACTTGCTTTCATCTTTTCAAAACTTTTGTAACATCTAGGCTAAATGAGCTGAAATCTTAGTTCCCTGATATATAAGCATTATCCAAAAGATGTGCTAAAGCATCACAATCCAACGATGTTTGAACCACAATTAATGGGAAAGGTAAAGATAAAAAGTTAAGGTATAAACTAATAAATCCATCAGGAAACTCAATAGTCAACAACACATAAACATCCCCTTGAATTCTACAAACACGCTTCTAAATATTAAACTGCCAACTGTGACAATAATTCTTGTTGCAACTTCATTCATAGAATAAGAAAATATCACACAAGGTATTTAATCAATCTCCATGGTTGCAGTGCTGCACAAATGTTGTAGATCTGGAAAAGTCCTACTATGTCATCATAAAAACCTAAGGAAATAAATAACTTACTTGCATGAATCGTAGACATCAGGAATTTGAGTGATGTCAAAGCGCCTGTGAAAGTAACACACCATCAGTGTATCAAAACAAAAAGTAAATACAGAACAAGAAAAGGCAAGCACAATGGCTATACATGAGCGACTTTGGAAATGATGATAGTTTTGTGAATGATATTGTCACAAAAAAAAAAAGTAATTTGAGAAACTAGAGAAAAATAAAAGTAATTTTAATTAAGGAAAGGAAAGGAAAGTTAAATAAACAAAAGAATTATTTTACGTCAAGAAGCTACAAATTACAATATAAAAAAGTAAAGCATTCTGTATTGCAATGGTCAGAGAAGAAAAATAATTTCGATGAGATGATTTAATAATACATATGTAAATTAAAAAATAAGTTCATCTACAAATCAAGGATAGATACAAATTGAGTCCATGTACAAACTAGAGGGGTTCAATAAGTTTTGACTTCACAAATAACTAGATTTCAAAAATTCATTCTTTTATTATATATATTTCATGTAACTAAAACCTTTTCTAGTGTCAATAGCATTTGAAGTATCATTTGTTTCCTAATATATAGACGGAAATAAAATAAAACCAAACAACAAATAAATGTAATTGCATACTCTTTGCGTTCATTATACAGATCCCTTTCAAGCTTTTTCCATCTAGCATACATTAAAAGAAACCCTTCACTACCACAAGGTAATCCAGCAGCTATTCGGTCAACATCAATGTTTGTTTTCCCAAGTGCTTTTGCTTGGTCATAAGGAGGAATTACGTCATATAGGCTTGTTTCTGCAAGTTTCTCATCTTCATCCGTGGCAAGTAGTCTAACTTGTTCAGTAACCTTCTTAATCAAGCTTACCTATTTTTTAGATATGCAGCAAAAGTTGAGAAACAAAACAGTTTAGTATCATTTCACACAAAATAGTTTCAAGTTCTAACAGTAGTGAAAACCTAGAAGGAATTAGGTCAAATAACCTGTGACAACAACACTATCCTATCAAGAGTAATGAACTCAGACAATATAGCAAACATGTTCCCCTTGGATAGATAGCGAGATGGTATGAACAAAAACAAAAGCTTAATACCGAACCAATTTTGAAATTTAACTTTTTATACTATTACAACTCAACTTCTGCCAGACATATTTGTAACCATATACGCTGAAATATGAAAGCAATCATATATGAAATCACATTAACTGATATTTAGTGACTTACCCAAGGGTTTTTTTTTTTTTTTTTTTCAGGTGGGGGGGGAGGTTCTATTTTTAATTTTAAAAGAGATTACACAAGGGAATGGTTCTCCCATCTGACCATTTGCTAACCCTATGATTATGGTATGTTCATTCTTTAGTCTTTGCTTTGGTTTTTAGATTGAACAGCTTTGTCACAATATAGAGCTGCCTTGGGTCTGAGTTTTCTATCAGCTTGTTGTTTTATTAGAAGGTATGTTGATAAGATCTATTGTGAACTTAACAATAAAAAAATTAATCTATCACAATTCCATTTTTGCTTCTCAAGTTCCCTGTGAGTAATGTTTTAAATGAGCAAATATAAACACTAACCCACATATTCAGAAAAAAACATAAATATTTTATGTTTTCTTAGAAAGTCAACTTTAAGCTTAACTTATCACTACAAATCTAGCTTGTAAGGTGGGTTATATATATTCTATTTTGACTGTATCTCTGGTCCATATGTGGTTTCTGATATATTTCATTCATGACTCATCTACCACAATATATTGACATAATTTGACAACAATTATTTTTATTTTACAAAACATGTGCCAAATAGTACTTCTAAACAATTTTAAGCTATATACTAGAGTCTTCTTAAGGCATTACAACAAGATAACCCAATTATTTTGCCTCATTCGAAAAGGACATTGTAGCTTACCCTCTGAATCATGTCATGGCAGAAGAGGTTAATGACACAACAATGCATTATTATATTTACAAAAACATTACCAACTTGGGAAGCAATTCTGACGCATTCGGTGGCAGTCCAGCACCATCAACCATCCAAGAAAATTCAGGTGATCCATTGCTATGAATATTCTTTGAACTAGAGGTTATGATCTCGTTTAGCCGAGCCTGCAGAATATGCAACCAAGACTATAATAAGTTTAAAAGCATACAATGCTCCTGTATTACTTCCTGAACCTTACTTGATATGCATGAGCTGTTAAATACACAATCAGTTGGTATCACTGACCAAGGGTTCAGGAATGCAACTCTTGTTGCTCTCCCTCTTACACAAATTTAGAGTTACGCACGAGATCAAATGAGTCTATGCATTATCCGTGCTTCAGTCCCAAAGTTTCTAGTGCAGTTGGCATCTATGCAATATATAAAATTATTCATAGTTCTAATAGCTCAAGATTTGACAGTATTTTGCAGTAAATGAAATGAGAATAGAAAGGGGTCATTTCAATTCCCAAGTAATTGGAAAGGGAATAAGCATTTCTACCATTATAGGAATAGGGGTTCTATCACTAAGGTGCTAGAATTCCCATTCTATTTAACAAAAATATAAGGGTAAAAAATGGATCAACCATTGCAGCTAACTTATTCAGACCTGAAAATGTTACAATGGACCAACCCTTCTAGTGTATAATTAGAAAAAAAAAAAAAAACACATGGATATGCATGTGTGTCCACACCATTCCTTAGTCTTCATCTAACAGCTCAAGCCTTTAGGTAAGTTGGTTTTTGACGTTGAACAAATTTCAAGTTTTCATCACTACTGCAATGCCTATAATATACAATAAAAACACATAAATTATCGGACACACTTCAAACCTTGGCTTCTTCCATTTCAATACTGGCATTGTCAAGTCCATCCAACATGGAGGAGTCCTTACTAACAAGTGAAACCTAATATTACAATTATTTTAGTCAAACATATCCAACACAAAAAACAGGTCAAATAATTTCTTTAGAAAAAATTAAAAAACAAACAAACCAGGATTGGTGTTAGCTGCCCTTCAAGATCAAGAAGACCTTTGGCAAATGCGGCTGCAGACATCTGTCATCAAAGACCAAAAGTAAAATGGTTCATAAATACTGCATGTTGGACAGATTATGCTGGTTAGCAACATAATCTCGCCAGGAAATAAAAATAATTAAATAACAAGGGCAATAACTGCTTTCAAAACCACTTAGGAAGCCAAGGCCTCCTTTTGATTGCAGGAAGGCTAGTGCAACATAGCCCATACCTGTACACGCCCCTCATCAGAGCTGTATATCTTAAGGTCATGACGGTATGTGCTATGGAGGCGCAGCAGCCCTGTACCTTCTCCTGCAAGGTTTAAGAATTTAATTTTCTTGTCTGTACAATCCCTAGTCATGTCTATACTATAATAAGAATGAAAGATCATGTATGAAATATATATCATGCTGACTAAAACATAAGTAGCACTGTCAGTTTTTAAACATGACAGTATGATGTATTCGCACATTGGCAAACTGTACACTATATGAGCCTTTTCTTCTTCTTTTCCCAAATTGGTCAAAAACAGAGAAATCATTTAAAATGCATAAAAAATATATTTCAAAATGCAAAGAAACAATTCAAAGAGCTTTAAACTGATTTTGAACTCTCAGTAAAATGGACTAAAAACATGTTAAAAACCTTTTTAAAACTTCAAGATGCAAGTATGTAGCACAATATCTTCTGCCATCTTTCTTATGTATAAACCAGCACCTCTAAACATCAAATTGAACTTCATCGTTAAAGAGGAACTCACATATAACAACTGATAGCAGCATATCAGTCAAAAGAAAAAGAAGTTTGAAATATCAATTTATAGTCAACCATTATAGTGTAAACAACTAACCCAAAAATGGGAAATAAGGAAACAATAAAGAAAAAAGACAAATATCAAGACTCATTTTTTTTTCGTATCCTAAAATATCTACAATTGATGCATGAATATAATATGATGATATGGTTATTCTAAAAATAACAACATACTATACGAATAAAAATTCATAAAACATATTGAATATATAACTAGTTGTGCAAATCTAAAGCAAAAACTCATTACTTAGGCATTGATGATATAAAGAAATTATAAATAATTGTCATCATAAATTACTTTCTATAAGACATCATTTTGTTTCCATATTACACATTCCTACATTTTTTTTTTCTATTTTTATTGGATATAAATGCTTTAAAAGTGTGGTCACTTCATCCAACACGTATCGGTGAAGTATCCAAAAATATTGGTATTAGATACATGAAACAGATAAAAGTATTTGTATTTTATAGGTTTCATACTTCATCAGTATGTATCAGTATTGGACCTGTATCAAATTCATGAATCAAATGGAAGTATTTATGCTTCATATTATCCCTCAAGTTGGTTATGGATATCTTTATTCCCAACTTACAAATAAGTTCCTCACATATTGTTTTAGGAAGGTCTTTGGTGAACATGTCCTCCAATTGGAGCCCCATAGAACAGGTGTTGTGACTATAAGACCAAAGACTGCTTTTAAATACATGGGTAGCTACATGTTGTAAATGAAGCCTAAAATATACAGCCCATCATCATCAAATCTATGAAAAGCAAGTATGCACACACCCATAGATAGTTTTATATCTTATATAGAACACATTTAGGCAATCCTCGTTCCTACTTGAAAGAAAAGTTTCATATAATCTAAACTTACAATATCTAAATAGAAAATTTGTGATGCTTCTACAGTGACTGACAGATTTCATCTTGATAATTGCCTATTTTAATAAACTTGCCTAGTTTAACATGCATCTGTGGAGGAAGGGTGGTGAAAAGTCTCACATTGCCTGTTTCAATTCTTGGAGTGTAGCTTATATATCTATAGGGAAACTTCATTCAATGTAAATTAGTTTACATTGAAATCTAAAAATTATTTCCAGAGATAATATGTTGTAACATGCCTCAGTGCCTTTTAATTTGAACTTTCCAATACATTGCTTACAATAATTTATTTGAGTTACCTGGATACATATTATTCCGGAAATATCTTCCAAGTTCTTCAGCCTACAAAGAGAAAAAACAATTAACAGAACTGGAAAGAGGATCATAAATACAAATTTCACGTTTTACTATATATCCAAGTCACAACAACAGCAAAACAATCAAACTCAAACTGAGCAGAAACATTCTTTTGTGTATTTATCAAACTGAACCTGCTTTCTGCCAGCATGTGTAAGAACACCCCCATATTTAAGAACCATCAAAGCTTCAACAGGCCGTTCTTCTTCTCCTCCTTCACCACTGCTTTTGGTCACTTTGATCCACTTTAGTGGCTTTAGTTGAACCTTTCTATATATGCCAGAGAAATGCCCACCCTGATATTGAATAAAAGAAAACAAAAATACATGAAACCTCTCGATCAAGACTTCTTTTATTAAAAATATGAAAATAAAAAAAAATCAAAGTTGTTGTTATTCAGCCTTTAAAAGTCATGCAGAAGTATTGTCTTCCTCTTTCCAAGCAACACAATGGCACATCACAACTAATAGACAAGTTTCTGTATGTACAACAAAGTACCTTTGTTCTTTTATCTAGATCAAGAGACAAAAAGAACATCAAAGGCCTTTCCCACAAGACAGGTCTGATACATGATAAAAACACTAGTATTATGTTCTATACAAAAACTACCATTCCTTTCTAATAGTTTCACTGTTTTCTTGGTCTTCCTCAACATCTGTTGGGTTATCACTTTTTATCCATCCAATAAACTCTTCCTAATGGGGTTTTGGTTGGTCTTATTCTCACATGATTGAATCATCAAGACACAGCAATGTCACCATTCAAATATTTGCATATCACCAGCTCAAGCACGCTTCTGTTTTCCTTTCTTTGCTTGTATATATTGTTGAAGTATTTATTAGATTAGTTGTATCTTGTTGGGCATTTATGAGATTAGTTGTAGACCTAGTTCCTAGAATGCATCTGTCTATCTTCTCTAGGATTAATCATTTCTCTCTATTAATTGTATCTCTGAATCTGTATCTTTATCTCCTATAAATAAGAGAACACAAGAGAATGATTTCAGGCTCTCAAAATCAGTTCTTTATTTTCCTTTTTCTATTTCAAGTTGGTATCAGAGTGGGTTCATCCCGCTCTGCCTGTCTCTTCTTTTTTTTCTGGCATTAATCATTGTTCGCCGCCGGTGCAGTATTTCTCCGGCGCCGTTTCTCTCTCTGACACTTGGGTTAGGCTCGCCTCGAGGAGTGTTAAGTGATAAAAAGTTGATATAATTATGCCTTGAATTGTTATGAAACCACTTAACTTATGTTAATTCTAATATATTTTTCTCCCAATATAGGATGAATTCGAGAATACCTTGATACAAGAGTAAGGAGCACAATTGTCAGCATAATTGGAGTAAAATTAAAAGAAAGAAGAACGCTTAAGCGAATGAAAGATGCGAGGCCCGACCCAAATTTTCATATAAAAAGATAAGTTGTGTTTTGAGAAAAGGAAGCAGTCTTGGAAAAGAGGAGGCACAACTACTGTTAGGATTTCGTCTAATCTTCATCAATTCTTCATCAATTGGAGCATTGTAATGGCCAACATGAGTGGCTAACTTCATTCTCTTAGGATTCGGTGCACTTCCTTTGAACTCTTTTGTATCATGGTGATATTTTGAGATATTAATCTATGCTTTGATGTTGTTATTCTTATCATTTATGCTTTGGAATGATTTATTTTTTATGTTTGGTGTATGATTGAAAAATATAACTTGAACCCTAGATCACGGTAAGAATATTACGTTAATTGCCAGGAATAGAATGAATGTATCAATTGCTTAACACCCTAACCCTAATGCTGGAAAATCTCTTAATTGTGTGAGGAATCAACATTTATTAGGTTTTCTTATGAATTTCATGTGTGAGGAATCAACATGGATGGTTTGAGTAGGTGACATCAACTTTGTTAGGTTAATTGACGTTCTTAATTGACATAGCCATTACAAAAGAGGGATAAGGAAGGAAGTCAATCCTAATACCTTTAATTGATATTTTCTCAACAATTTACAGTTCTTTGTCATTTAATTTCAATTCAACTCTTATTTGCAAAACCCAATCTGTTTAATCTACTTAGTAAGCATAACTGAGAATTTTCATTGAAATTGTTCCTCGTGGAATCGACTTTTATTTAATTGAAATACTATACTGCGATTGATAATTTTGGTACGCTTGCCAATAATTCAACAAGGAGCGCGACCCAACCCCAGTGATCGCTTCCTCCGTCTCTGCCTCACACGCCACCCTCGTCCGCGGCTTCCTCCGCGTGTGAGCCTCCCGCGCCGCCCTCCTGGTGGCTGTTTTGCTCCAGACCACCTCTATCCAACTCGCCTCATCGCCCTGGAGTCAGATCTGCACTTTGTTTTGTGTTCTCTGTCACAAAACGTTGGTGGGTCTGCGTTCTTCTCTCTACATCTCTCGGTCCTCTCTCTGCTTCCATAGACAGCACGCTGGTCCTCTCTTGTTTCCTGAAAAATGGCAGGACTTGTGTCTGTATCTTTTTCTGGGACTCCAACTATAACCGCAGAAAAATTAAATGGGAAAAATTATTTGTCTTGGGCTTCCTCTGTTGAGCTCTGGTTTCTAGGACAAGGAGTTCATGATCATTTAGAAGAAGATGGAAGTACTAAACCAACAGATCAGGCTCCTCAATGGAAGAAACTGGATTATCAACTTTGTGCACTATTATGGCAATCTGTTGAACCAAATATTTTGAACACTCTTCAATCCTTCAAGACATGCAATTTCTTTTGGAAAAAGGCCCAAAATATCTTTGCTAACGATATTCAACGACTTTATGATTCTGCTAATAGACTAGCCTACTTTAAGCAAGAGGATAATTCCATGATGTCCTTTGTTGTTGAAGCTCAATCAGCAGTTGAAGAATTAAAAATGTTCCTGGATGCAGAATCATTAGAGGAAAGAAAGATGAAGTTGGATAAATTCTATATGGTAATGATTCATAGGACTATGAATCCAGAATTTAATCATGTTAGAGACCAGATTCTAACTGGAGAAGAAGTTCCTTCTACGATGAGTTTAATCACAAGACTACTTCGTGTTCCTTCTATCAAAAGCAAAAACAGTCAGGAACTTGCTGATTCTTCTGCCATGATTTCTGCTTGTGGAAGAGGTAATCACAACAATAGAGGACGTGGTGAGAAAGGACGTCCCCAGTGCTCTCATTGCAAAAGAATGGGACATACTAAGGAAAATTTCTTTGCTCTGCACGACTTTCCTGATAAGGCAGTTAATACCTCAAAATCTGAAGCTGATGAGCCCAAGTTCTCTCATGAAGAGTATCAAGAATATTTAAGGATGAAATCAACCAATTTGGCTCAAGCATCTACAACACCAAATTCGTCAACCGCTTGCATTTCGCAATCTGTGGAAAGTTAAAATCAGTGGATTATTGACTCAGGTGCTTCTGACCACATGTCTGGTAATACCTCTTTATTCTCCTCTCTTTCATTTCCTAAAACCTCTCATCTCATATCTTTAGCTAATGGATCTAAAGTAGCCTCTAAAGGAATTGGTCAAATATCCATCTTTTCTTCTTTAAACCTTCAAAATGTTCTTTGTGTTCCTTCTTTTCCATTCAGTCTTGTTTCTATAAGCCAATTAACCAAATCATTGAATTGCTTAGTAACCTTTAATGCCAATTGTTTTGTTATCCAGGAACGTGGTACGGGTCGACTGATTGGAGAAGGACATGAATCTGGAGGCTTATACTACCTTAGGACTAAGTCATCTGTATCTTGTGTTGCATCCTTATCCCCAAAACTGTTACATGAGCGATTAGGGCATCCTTATTTAGCAAAATTGAAAAAAATGGTTCCTTAACATCAGAACCTTCAAACTTTTGAATGTGAATCCTGTCAACTAGGGAAACATACCAGGTCATCCTTTTCAAATCATTCTGAATCTAGATGCGATTCTGCTTTTAGTATTGTTCATTCAGATATATGGGGACTTAGTCGTGTTTCATCTTTTGGTTTTAGATATTTTGTTACTTTTATTGATGGATTTTCTATATGTACTTGGGTTTATTTTATGAAAGATCACTCTGAACTATTGCCTATCTTTAATTCTTTCCTTAATGAAGTCAAAACCCAATTTGAAAAAGTAATCAAAGTTTTACGAAATGATAATGCTAAAGAGTACTTTTCTAATGATTTTTCTAATATCCTAAAATCTCAAGGCATTTTACACCAGTCCACGTGTCTTCACACACCACAACAAAATGGTATAGCAGAACGAAAAAATAGACATTTGGTTGAAACTGCACGTACCTTATTGCTTGGTGCCAATATGCCTATTCATCATTGGGGAGATGCTATTCTAACTGCATGCTTTCTCATTAATAGAATGTCATCTTCTTCTCTTGATAATAAAGTTTCACACTCTATTCTATTTCCAAAGGAACCAATTTTTCATGTTTCTCCTAGGGTATTTGGATGTATATGTTTTGTTCATGATATGTCTCCTGGCTTAGATAAACTCTCACCTAGAGCTATCAAATGTGTCTTCTTGGGGTATTCTCGTCTTCAAAAAGGATATCGGTGTTATTCTCCTGAAACCAAGAGGTACTACATGTCTGCTAATGTCACCTTTTTTGAATCATCCTCCTTCTTCCCTTATTCTATGCAGGATTTTGATTCTGTCCAACATGTTTTTCATGTCCCCTTAGTTGAATCATTTGTACCTCTTATTCCTGACACCCCAAATCCCAACCAAAATACTCTAGAATCATCATCACAGCCTATCATCACCTATCAACGCAGGAACCAGGTAAACAATCTCATTCCCCAAGATGAGCCATCCATAACAGGTCCTTCTCAATCATCTTCTAATACCACGGCTCCTGATAACGATGACTCCAGTTGGCCCATTGTCATTCGTAAAGGTACTCGTTCTACTCGTAATCCTCATCCCATTTACAATTTTCTTAGCTATCATAGATTGTCTCCTTCCTATTGTTCTTTTATTTCCTCTATATCCTCTATTACAATTCCCAAAAATGTGGTCGAAGCACTTGATCATCCTGGATGGCGACAAACCATGATTTCTGAAATGCAAGCTCTTGATCACAACAAAACATGGGAGCTGGTTCCTCTCCCTTCGGGAAAGAAAACATTTGGTTGTCGTTGGATCTATGCTATTAAAGTTGGGCCCAATGGTCAGGTTGATCGTCTCAAAGCCAGGTTAGTGGCTAAAGGATACTCTCAAATATATGGACTTGATTATTATGATACTTTTTCCCCTGTAGCCAAAATGACCATTGTCCGCCTGTTCCTTGCCATGGCCGCCATTCGTCATTGGCCTCTTTATCAATTGGATATTAAAAATATTTTTTTTGCACGGTGACTTAGAAGAAGAAGTTTACATGGAGCAACCTCCTGGATTTGTTGCTCAGGGGGAGTCTGGTTTGGTTTGTAAATTACGTCGATCCCTCTATGGCCTAAAACAATCTCCACGTGCTTGGTTTGGAAAATTCAACTCTATTGTTCAAGCTTTTGGATTAAAACGCAGCGAAGCAGATCATTAAGTGTTTTATTGTCACACTGCCCCTGGCAAAAATGTTTATTTAATTATGTATGTTGATGATATTGTCATCACAAGGAATGATGCTACTAGAATATCTCAGCTAAAAGAGCACTTGTGTAGTCATTTTCAGACCAAGGATCTTGGAAATCTAACATATTTCTTGGGTATTGAAGTAGCTTAATCAAGAGAAGGTGTTGTCATCTCTCAAAGGAAGTATGCTCTAGATATTCTAAAAGAGACAGGTATGATTGATTGCAAACCTGTGGACAGTCCTATGGATCCGAATTTGAAGTTAATGGCAGAACAGGGTGAAGTTTTCTCTGACCCAGAAAGATATAGAAGATTGGTTGGGAAACTTATTTATTTGACTATTACTAGACCTGATTTGTCTTTTGCAGTTGGTGTTGTCAGTCAATTTATGCAAGCTCCTTCTGTGGATCATTGGAATGCTATCATTCGAATCTTAAGATACATTAAAAAAACTCCAGGACAAGGTTTATTATATGAAGATAAGGGAAATACCCAAATTTTTAGGTACTATAATGCTGACTGGGCTGGATCTCCTATGGATAGGCGTTCCACTACAGGCTATTGTGTTTTCTTTGGAGGTAATATCATTTCATGGAAAAGCAAAAAGCAAAACGTTGTTGCCCGATCCTCTGCTAAAGCTGAATATAGGGCAATGACGTCTCTCACCTGTGAACTTGTTTGGGTAAAACAATTCTTGCAAGAATTGAACTTCTGTGAGATTCAATCTATGAAGATGTATTGTGATAATCAAGTTGCTTTCCACATTGCTTCCAACCCAGTATTTCATGAGAGGACTAAGCATATTGAGATTGACTGTCACTTTATTCGGGAGAAGTTGTTGACTAAAGAAATTTTTACTAAGTTTGTTGGTTCCAATGATCAGCTTGCAGATGCATTAACAAAATCTTTGAGAGGACCTCAAATGGAATTCATTTGTTCCAAGCTTGGTACATTCAATTTGTATGCTCTAGCTTGAGGGGGAGTGTTGAAGTATTTATTAGATTAGTTGTATCTTGTTGGGCATTTATGAGATTAGTTGTAGACCTAGTTCCTAGAATGCATCTGTTTATCTTCTCTAGGATTAATCATTTCTCTCTATTAATTGTATCTCTGAATTTGTATCTTTATCTCCTATAAATAAGAGAACACAAGAGAATGATTTCAGGATCTCAAAATCAGTTCTTTATTTTCCTTTTTCTATTTCAAGTTATATAATAATCATGGTTTTAGCAAAGCAAGGAAGTTTAAATTTGATACCACGTACTAATTCATAAGTTAGTAGCACACAATCAAATTGATAGTATAGTATAATTAGTGGTAGGCTATTCTCACTATCAGTGTCATGTAACTATAAATTAGTATGATAAACTGACTCAGCATTGAGTCAGCACAATGTAATAGTTAGCCATCTGTCATCCTGCTAGGACAACTGGAGTCTGTCATGTCTAATTAGAAATCAACTAAATAGCTAGCAGTTTGTCATGGTATAATTAGATCTTAACTAAATAGCTAGCAGCTCAGGCTATCGGATTGCATATATACCTGAGCATTGTAACTCAAACAGAAGTAATACAATTCATTTTAACAGTTTACAAAATCTCTCTTTACTGAACTCTTTACAAAATCTCTCTTTACTGAACTCTTTACAATGGAACATGGGCTTCAGCTAGGCAAGCAGATACTGCGTTCTTTTTCATATAGCTTTTCAAGCGATATTGTACAAAACACTAGTTCTTACACTCAACCGCTTAAGCTTTTGGGAAAGTTTATTCATGATGTTATAAGAGTCTCTATGACAAAGTGATCATGACTTTGATGTACTTTTCCCACACTTTTCTAAATAAATTGCAGAAAAAAGGATGAAAGTCAGTAAAAGCCTAAAAGGTAGGTGAACATATGCTAGAATAAGGTTTTGAGAGTATTGCCTCTTGGTACCACAAAAACTTTTAAAAGAATAAAGTTTCCAAAAACTCTGCATTAGGGGTTAAAAGCTTATCATAGCATCAATTCATGCATGAACTATTTTTTTTCTTGTCATGCATTCTTGGCATCATTTTCTAAAAAAATAGCAATTAAAAAAAAAAGGGAGAAAAAATAACTTCCAAGTCATTGATTTGATGATTTTTCCAAAAAAAATAAAATGACTTTTGCTAAATAAAAGTCCTTTGCTTGATGGTTTAAGAGAAAATAGGTTTTTGGCAATGCTATTTTTGAAATTCCAAGTCCTTGTCTAAGTAGTTTCAACAAAATAAAAATAAAATAAAACAAAGCATACAAGTTGGTATCTGAACAAGTCCTCCTAACAAATATTGCGAATTCCAAGTCCTTGACCAGATAATTAAAAAAACTGCCCTCATTTCAACAACTTGAAAAAAAAAATTCCATACCTTTGACTTCATAACTTTAAAAACTGGAAACATAAAAGTAAAAATTGAAGAGTGAGACAAAGAAAGAGAAAGCAAAAAAATGTTTTAAACTGAAAAGTACAAGGGTGGTCTAAACAAATGTCATGGCAAATATTTAGAAGAAGAGGCTGAAAATCCCCTTAAAATTTGTAAACTCTAGAGCAAATACCCTTGAGTATCAATGGAAGGAAATGTGTAAGAGGAAAAGCAATAGAGACATTAGTTTTAGTAATAAAGCAGTTAGAAGGAATCAATTGAATGAGAGCCAAGAAATAGTCCTAGACCAAGCTCATCCTGTGCCCTAGCTGATACCTGATATCTTAACAATATTGTCTCTTCACAATCCCTCATGCAAGAGTCGTTTAGTGTTGAGCATTGATAATATTTAGAAGAATGACAGCAACAATAATCAAACTTCTAACTACTCCATGAAGGAGCTTTGATACCATACCATCTTCTCAAGAACCAACTCTCCCAAAGTTTAGGTTTTAAGGTAAAAACTCATGAATGGTTACATATGTAATATACCTTAATATTACAAGAAAAGAAAATTATGTTTGCTTGTTTTAGTGATAATGTTTCCTAGATTTTTTCCTGAGAAAAATTGGCACACTGAAATGTCTTGAGGTGAAGAAGGTTTTCAAGTAGTGAAGATATATTTGACAATTAATATAGAATTGAAACTTGAGTGTTCAGTCAATAACAACATACAGCAAGCCCAACCAAAGGGATACAAGTCAACTACTCACAGTCCATAGAAGTGTAAATTTCAAATTACAATAACCATCATATGATTAATACACTACAAACTTATCATTATCATAATAAACAAAGTTAAGAAAATTAAAAACCTCTTCCAGGACAGCTTTAACTTGACGGAGCTTTTCAGCATGCTCAACTTCAGCCTCACTATCACTTTCACGATCTGGTCTACATAGTATATACAGCTATAATTAGTTTAAACTCCATGCTTAACAAATAATGAATATACACTGATTAGAAAACCCATTAGATTACCTGCTTACAACAATGGCAAAACACGCATTCAAAATGTGCAAATAGTAATCATGTGAACATAGAAAATTACAAATTCTTGTTCAATCAAAAGAAATATTGAGAAGAAAATTGACTGCATCAACCAGCCACATTTTGGCATGAAATTGAGTTGCATTGAATGTAATGGTAACGTGCAACACATATTGAAGCTCGTGCAGGGTGGAATACTGTTAGGCAAGAGGAATCATCTTATGTAAATAGGCCTTTAAAGGTTTCCACTAGGAAGAATACAAATTAATAAGTGTCAGTTAGTTAGTTAGAAAGCTATTAGAGCCATACTGGCAGTTATTTGGGGTCAGTTGAATAAATAGCTTCTTCCTCAAGGAAGAAGGGGAGGGAAGATTTTGTAAAAACTAATAGTTCAGTTGTAAAAGAAGAAGAACATTTTTCTTGTAATCATTTGAGAGATTTCAGTGGATTCTTTCACTCTGTTGAGTGTGTGTTGAGTGTGTTTGTTGTGTTCTCTGCGAATTTTTATTCATTCTAGAATAAGGGCATACGAAGATTCATAACAATTGGTCCGACCTGTCACAAGCTACCTCATGGATCGTGTAAAGGAGCGATTCTCGGCTTTGGAATCTTCCGTGGCTTTGCTGACTGAAGCATCCAAAGAATGGAAATCTGTTACCAGCGAATTAAAGAAGGAAACGAAATTAACGAAACAAACGATCACTAGGATGTCCAAGAAAGTTGATCTTATTGATGACATGCACGACATGTTGCAAACACTTATGGCGCACCGCAGGCTTCATGCGTTACCTAGTGACGCGGAGGAGGACGTATCTGAGGGGGAATCAGAACAACAATCTGAAGCAGATTCTGTTTCGAGTGATGACGAGGATGACACATCAATGCGACCATGGTCAAAGAAAGTGCAGATGCCACTGTTTGAAGGGGAGGATCCCATGGGCTAGATCACACGCGCGGAAAAATTCTTTAACGTGCAATGTGTCAAAGAAAAACAGAAGTTGCGGTTGGCATTCATTCATATGGAGGGCAATACAATTTATTGGTTCCAGTATTCGAAGAAGCAAACCAAATGACCCACATGGAAGACATTCACAACAGCTTTGCTACGTCGGTACGGTGGCACTAGGGGCAGCGATGTCTATGAAAGATTGGCAGCCATTCATCAGACAAGTAGCGTGGCTGACTTTGTGCAACAATTTGAGATTTTAGTGGCGCAGATTCATGGGGCGCCGGATGCACAACTACATGGTTACTTCTTAGCCGGACTTCGTGATGATATGAGGAACAAGATTTGGCCACATCGGCCCAAAGATCTTATTGCTGCCATGGATTTGGCACACGATTTTGAGGAGGCAGAAAAGGGAGAGATATCAGCGGGTGAGAGTCGTAATCGCCCTTTCCGATTTCAAGCAAAGGGCAGCACCATGACACGTAGCGTTGAAGGGAGTTCTGGGAATCCGACTCAAGCTGCACCATCATCAAACAAGCTCACTTCAACAAATTCGTGTAATATGGGTAGTTTCAGGACTATTTCACAGACTGGGTTCTCCACCACGGTTCCAAGAACATGTGCGGCTAGGAATTTACCATATCAGGAGTATATTCGAAGAAGGGAAGCGAAGTTATGTTATCACTGCAGTGCCCCTTATGTTGCTGGTCACAAATGCCCCAATAAAAACCTTCGCTTTCTTATACTTGCAGCAGATGAGGGAATTAATGAGGATGGAGATATTGCCTAGTTGGATATACAAAAGGAAAGTCAGGAAAAGGTGGAATTACAGTCTGAAGTGGAGTGCCAATGGATGGACCTTTCAATATGCTCTGCTGGGGGTTTCACTCTGTTGAATATAGAAGAAATAGAGTTTGGGATTAATCTCCCTTGTGTATAAATCACACATAGGGTAGTCTATTTATAGTAGAGAGATACAACTAAAAGAATAACTGAAAGTAACAGAATAAACAGAAGATATTGTTAGATATTATGGTTAATATCTAACAATATCTTAACAATATTAAACAATATCTAAACAATATCTAACACTCCCCCTCAAGCTGGAGCATACAAATCGTATGTGCCAAGCTTGTTACAAATATAATCAATTCTAGGACCCCGTAAAGATTTAGTAAAAATATCTCGCTAACTGATCACTTGAGTTAACAAACTCGGTCTTGATGTCTCCAGACATAATCTTTTCTCGAATGAAATGACAGATCAATCTCAATGTGTTTGGTCCTCTCATGAAAGACAGGATTAGAACTAATATGAAGAGCAGCTCGATTGTCACACACAAGTGACATCTCCAAATTGTAACTCTCTAAGCAATTGCTTGAGCCAAACAAGTTCACAAGCAACTGAGGCCATAGCTCTATATTCTGCTTCGCACTAGATCTTGCCACAACACTTTGTTTCTTACTTTTCCATGAGACCAAGTTACCACCAATGAAGACACAATATCCAGATGTAGATCTTCTATCCGAAGGAGATCCCGCCCAATCGACATCTCGAGTAGCAAACAACTCTTGTATGGTTATTAGAATCATATAACAATCCTTTTCCAGGAGATCCTTTAATATACTTTAAGATACGAATGACCGCATTCCAATGATCTTCACATGGGGAATTAAGAAATTGGCTTACCACACCGATCGCAAAGGAAATGTCGGGACGAGTAACTCGTAAGATAATTCAATTTTCCAACCAATCTTCTATACTCGCTCAGGATCAGATATAGGCTCCCCCGATTTGGTAGAAGTTTAGTATTGGGATCCATGGGTGTATCAACGGACTTTGAACTCATCAACCCAGCTTCCTCCAAAATATCTATGGCATACTTCCTCCGAGATATAACAATACCATCATTGGACTGTGCCACCTCAATACCCAAGAAATATCTAAGTTTGCCAAGATCTTTGGTCCGAAAATGGTGACAGAGATGTTGTTTCAACCGAGAGATGCCATGACTGTCACTACCTGTAAGAACGATGTCATCAACATATACTATCAAGTAAACACATCCAAGCACTCGAGTGTCGATAAAAGACAGAATGATCCGCTTCACACCGAGTCATACCAAATTGTCGAACAACATTGCTAAACTTTCCAAACCAAGCCCTAGGAGACTGTTTTAGGCCATATAGGGATTTGCGAAGACGACATACCATCCCGTAAGACTCCCCCGAGCAACAAACCCAGGAGGTTGCTCCATATAGATTTCTTCTTGCAAATCACCATTGAGGAAAGCATTTTTAACATCTAGTTGATAAAGAGGCCATTGTTGAAGAGCGGCCATGGCGATAAATAAACGAACGTAAGTCATCTTTGTCACTGGGGAAAAAGTATCTCCATAATCCAACCCAAAAATTTGAGTATAACCTTTGGCCACAAGACGAGCTTTGAGGCGATCAATAGTACCATCGAGTCCAACTTTGATAGCAAACACCCACCCGCAACCAACAACAGATTTACCAGACGGTAACGAGACCAATTCCCAAGTTCCACTATTATGAAGAGCACTTAATTCATCTAACATGGCCTCGACGCCAACCAGGATGGGCTAAAGCTTCATGGACAGCTTTTGGAATGGTCACGTGACGAAAGAGAGGAAAGACATGTATAAAAAGGTAATGACAAGTCGATGATAACTCAAACCAATATAATGGGGAGAGGGATTACGTGTAGAACGGATACCTTTTCGGAGGGCAATGGGAAGGTCGGACTCGTGTGTCACATCCGGAGGAGACAGAGTAGTTGACACTTGAGTGGAGTCACATGGTGGTGGTTGTGATTGGTTTGGGCAACTATAAATCGAAGAGGCAAGTGAAGAAGAAGCCGATCGCGGAGCGAAAACTAATGGTGAATAAGACACAGTTAGAGGGTCACAAACAACAGGAACATTAAATGTACTAGGAGTGTTGACAAGATTGGATGGAGACAGAGGTGAAGATTGACTTTTAAAATAAAAAGAGAACTCATCAAAGGTGACATCTCGCAGACACAAAATAACGGTTAAGAGAAGGAGAAAAACATTTGTATCCTTTTTGTGATCGTGTAAACCCTAAGAAAACACATTTATGTGATCTAGGAGAAAGTTTGTCAAGACCGGAACCGAAATTATGAACAAAACATGTAGACCCGAAAACTCTTAGAGGTAAGGGATGAAGTGGTTCATGAGGAAATAAAATAGAATGAGGTATTTTATTATCTAAAACCGAAGATGGCATGCGATTAACGAGATAACATGCGAGTAAGAAGAGCATCACCCCAAAAATGCCGAGGAACCTCTCCATGAATTAAAAGAGTGCGAGTTGTTTCAATAAGATGTCTATTTTTACGTTCAGCCTACACCATTTTGTTGAGGTGTATAAGCACAAGAAGTTTGATGCAAAATACCATGAGAAGCCAAAAATTGTTTAAAAGAATGAGAAAGATATTCACGACCATTATCATCTGCGCAAAACTCTAATAGAAACACCGAACCGAGTTTGTATTTCATTAAAAAAAGATTGAAAGATATCAAATACTTCGAACGATTTTTCATTAAAAATAACCAAGTACATCCGGAATAATCATCAATGAAAGTAACAAAGTATTGAAAACCTAAAGTAGACTTAACGCGGCTAGGTCCCCAAATGTCGAGTGAACCACGGCAAAAGGGGACGAAGCACCACGTGTGACACTACGAGGAAAGGAAGTACGACTATGCTTGCCTAATTGACACGACTCACATGCCAAACTAGACAACTTAGATAAGGCAGGGACAAGCTGCCGTAACTTGGCAAGACTTGGATGACCTAACCGAGCATGGAGAAGAGAGGGAGACTCTATAACCGCACCAACATGTGTAAAGGGACGAAGATGATAAAGACCATGAGACTCACATCCTGTGCCAATCACCTGTTTCGAACTCCGATCCCGTAAACACACAGAATTGTTGGTAAAAGAAACAACACAATCAAGAGAACGAGTTAGACGATCGATGGATAACAAGTTAAAAGGAGACCCAGGGACATAAAGAACATTATCAATTGTTAAAGAAGGGAAAAGTTTAACAGTTCCAACACCATGAGATGATACTCTAGAGCCATCACCGAGTGTAACGAAGGTAAAGGATTAGGAGAGGATAAAGAGGAGAACAAAGATTTGTT